CTCAACTTGGAATTCAGGATTTATCTTAATAGGATCAATCAGTTGGGCTCCGTGCTTTTTCATGTATGACTCCAACCAGTTTGGTAGGTTCCCAGAACGAACTTTAAGTACTCTTGGTAAACTTCCAACAACAGCAGCACCGGAGACCGTTTGAGGCATAAAGTGACTCAGATCTGCCATGCATTTCTCCAAAGACTGTTCCTTTCACCTCGACTTGTATCCATCTCTCCTTTTGCATTACACATATTTGTCTCTGCCACAGGAGGGCGCTCCAGATAACGTGGTGCTATTTCCTCCAGAAGAAACACAGTCTGACATGGTAAATGAGGTACTGTAGGGTTTCAGCATGTGTATGTGAATTTGCACTGGGAGTGTGCATGGTATTTCTACAGGAACTTTGGTTCAGCTTAGGCTGGTTTAGGATGTTTTATTGAGCAGTATGTGCTTTGAACCACCAAATGTATGTGGATGCACAGGTGGTTCTCAAAAAGGGGCCTAAGGTTCCACTAAGTCACTATTTATTTTAAAGATTCTTTTTAACATTTTAAGCACATTTTTGTAGTTCAATTAAATAGTCTTGCAGTGTGACAGATGCATTTACATTTTTTTTAGATATACATTTTTTCTAGTTATTGCTAAGCTCTAAAATATTTTATAGGGTAGAATCTATTTTTAAAAATCTAAAAATATTCTCTAAAATCGTAATGTTTGAAATGGAGTATTATTACATGGACCCTAGTAATTAGAAGACTAAAAAAGTTAGTGTATAACATGATCCCCCCTGTGGGTTACTTTGAGATTGACCTTTGGCCCATTTCCCAGTATTCACCTGCAGCGTGTGCATCAGAGTGCAGTCCTCAGTCTCCCAGCAGGTAGTGACAGAACAGCAGCAGATATAAGAGGCAGGAGGTAGCTCGAGAGGGAGGGATCAGAGGGTAGAAGCGTCATGCTCAAAGAGTTACACAGAGAAGGGGGAGTGATCACTACTCAAGTTGCTCTGTGAGTGTTCTAGTCTGAGATTTCGTAGTACTGCTTCTAGACTGAGGAACAGTCTGTCTCACACTTCCAGGGACTAGCAGAGTTCTCCTGTGAAGGGCATGGCTCTATAGCAGGAGAGGTGAAGGGAGCTGAGTCAGGAGTCTGGGGAGGAGACTGGAACATAGGCAGAACAGGCAGTATGTGTTGCAGCATGTTTGTGTGCTTGCCCGGCTGAACCAAAACACGCACACGTCGCTGCACACGCTCTCTGGGAGTTCAGCGCCGGAGTGCTGCACTGTGAAACTGCAGCAATCTTGTGTGAATGTGTGTGTACCTCCTTAGAGAAAGGTGAGTTTGTGATTTATTTAATGGCTTGCTGCAATTGTTTTTTTTTTTCTTATTTTCCAGTTAAAATCTGTCAAATTCTCAAAACAAAATAAATGTACAATGCTGCCGTACTGCATGAGATATTAAGACTCGTCTTCAGAGAATGTATTAGTAACACTTTAGTTTAGGGACCAATTCTTACCATTGACTAGTTTATCTTATTAGCATGCATATTATAGCATATTGGCTGTTTATTAGTACTGATAAAGCTCATAGTCATGTCTTATTCTGCATGATCATATTTTAGAGCCCTTAATCCTACCCAGTACCTAAACTTAACAACTACCTTACTAACTAATAATAAGCAGCAAATTAGGAGTTTATTGTGGCAAAGGTCATAGTTAATAGTTAATAGTGAGAATTGGTCCCCAAACTAAAGTGTGACCAATGTATTTTTTAATACAAGTGTATTTTGTCTTACTAAACTGGAAGTAAAAGTTTTCATTTATTTAAAAACATTTGTATTAGGTTTTTTAAACTTGAAAACAAGTGAACAAGATTAATTAAAAACTTACTGTCAAGTCATTTTTTGCAGTGTAATAGTTTTATTTATTTTCTACTGATTCAATTGTTATGTGTTAACTGAGTACACTAGTGTGTGTCCTAAATCGGGATAATATTTCGGTCTGTTTTATAGTTATTCAAAACTGGACTGCATTGATCATATAATTTATGGGTTGTGTGTGCGCATCCCACAACTATTTAGAGGTCAGTCTACTGTGTTGGGCTTATACGACTGCCATGGCAACCAGTAACCCTGCACAGCAAGGACGCATGATAGTTAACAGCAGGGATTTACTGTAGTAGAGGACAATGTGGTCTGTTAAAGGGGCAAGGCAAAAGAGACCATATGGGGTCTGCTTTTCAGGACCACTCATGCTGTAGGTCAAAGGACAAAGGAAGACAGTGGCCCCTTATTTAAAAAAGACAGCAGTGATTTGAGGTTACCTGTTTGAAGGCCCCTGTGTGCCGTATATATGGATCAGCAGATCTGGATGCCCCCCATGTAGCTTATATCCGTTTAAATTCTAAACCAACAGACAAGTGTAGCTCATGCTCAATGAAGTTTTTTAGGGCTTAGATATAGGTTCACAGCATAGACAGGAAACAGGAAGTTGTGGAATTGAAACCAACCACGAGAAACAAGATCATAAGCAGACCAAGGCCCAATCCCAATTCTATTTTATACCCCTTCCCCTTCCCCTTTCACCCCTTCGTTTGAAGTGTGGTCCCGAAAAATCTTAGTTTGAAGGGTATCTGGCCCTTCCCCTTACCCCTACCCCTCCAACCAAAAGAGAATCGAGACACCCCTACCCCTTCACGTGAACGCGCAAAACGGAGGGGTAGGGGAAAGGGGAAGGGCTAAGGGGTAGAATTGGGATTGGGCCAAAGTGTGTTATTATACTATTAAACTCAAGTGTAGGTGTGAATAAATGTGGTTTTACAGCTTGAACAAAATTCCAATGATTAGGACGTTTAAAAAAGTCCTTTTTTTATGATCAAAGATTTAAGTATTTGATATATGCTCATGGTTTGGACATACTTATGTAGTATGTAAAGCATTATGGCTTTATAATCTTATAAAAGTTAAAAATGGATACAAACAGTGGGGCTCAAATCTCTTATTCTAAATGTCATTTAAACCTGGAAACAATGTTTGAAATGTTTTGAAATGTAAATATTAATTGTTATTTAATATTTCTAGGTCAGTAATGATATGTAAGAAAATTTGTGATTTTGGCTTGGCCCCTTTAACCCCTTCACCTTTGTTCTTTGAAAGAGGCTTTTTGGAACATTTTAAATTCATGTACGTTTTTCAGTTAAACTTTTCATTCAAATTGTTTTATGTCAAACAAAATAATAAAATAAAATATAAAATAAAACAAAATAAAATAAAGATTTTTTTTTAACAAGCATTTTTGCTAGTAGACTTCTGTACCCCATTAAAATGACATAGTAAGGCCTTGATTTGTTGTCTGAGGGTGTGTAAACAGATTCTCAGGTTGATGACAAGAATTTTGGAGAAGTGTAGCAGACACTGGGTCATTTTTATATGAGGGGCTGAGGGAGAGATATTTAGGGATACATCAATACAGTACAGTGATTGTTCACCGGTGTGTGAAGTGCAACCTGTTCTTCAGGGGTTTTGCTGTTTTCTGTGAAAATCCAGCCATCTGTCACTACTAAATATTACTGATATTTGAAACCCTTGTGTTTATTCCAGTCTTGGTTAACAAATTAAAACTCTGAATAAGCTAATGGAATCCGAACCTTTGAGTTTGGCTGGACTTAGATCAGGGCGATTCATTCGATACTCTGACCTGATTCACATTGAGTGGTGTTTGTGCTCAGGCCTGGGAATGTAGATCAATGCATGAATTCACTCTTAAAGTCTTAAAGTGCTGAGAGCGTATAACAAGTAACCTACAGCAGAGGTGGGAATGCACATGTATCGAGTGCATCTGATGTGTGTACAGGAGTCAAAGATGATATAAACAATGGTTAATGGATGTGGGGCTTCTGTGTAATGCATCTCTAATGTGACCTGTGTTCCAGAGAGCCTGCAACATGATCCTCTTTTGCTGCACAAAGACTTGTCTGTGAATCATACTGTTGATCAGTGAGTGTGTGTATGAATAAAATGAGTGTGTGTGTCTGTGTTTTGGAGGGGTTAGATTCTCTCTTATTTTAAATCAGAGTGATTATCATGCAAATTAAGAGTGTAGACATGATCAAATATGTATAATTTTGATTTGTGTTTGCGTCAGTTTAGGACTTTAAAACATAGTTGGATAGTTGACAATCATTTTGATTTTATTTTTATTAAGATTTCAGAGTACAAGTACAATCCTGTGTGAAAACCTGTGCCAAATAAATATGTGACCCCTAATGTGAGCCGGAAAGGGAGTGTTTTAAGTGCTGTTAAGTCTTTTTTTAATTTGATGTTTTATTTTAAATTTTCGCCATTTTAATCACCTGGTTAAATTAAATAGGCTTGCAGTGTGACAAATGCATTCATAAATGAAATGAAATGCATTTAAATGTTACATGTAGTAAATAATCCATGTATATGGATTTACATTTATTTATTTGTCTGTTTGGCCTGGCCTTTTACAAAATGCTTCAGAATGTATTTAATCTGCGTTTAAAGTGCTCTGTGGTTAATGTAGTTCAGTTGAATAGGCTTATTTCATTTTATCTTATCTTATCTTATCTTATCTTATCTTATCTTATCTGGAAAGAATAGTGGTAAAACCAGTAAAGTCAGAACAATCACTTAATTTAGGCTTGTATGAACATGTCTGAACTGATCCTTAAGACCCAGCTGGTATAGTCGATTCATTGAAAACATTTATTTTTTAAAGATTTGTCAAAGTACTGATGGCTCAATGATAAATGATCAGGGTGTGTAGCCCAGTCTGGAATCACCTCAGCATTTTAATTTTATTGACATGCTGGGTGTGTTTTCTTTGATTTTAAATGTCAAACCCTGTACGTTTCAAGGAACATAATCTTGGTTTGAACAATTAACTTGTTCACTGTGGCAAGTAAATCATTTTAGGTGGTGATTTATGATCGCAGATTAAAAACAGATTGCACTGGTCTGTGCTCTAACTACTTTTGTTGTTTCTCAGGCTGCAGTACACACTGACAAGGTGAGCCCACTGAAGGAGAAGTCTGCCACTGCAGAGAACGGATCTGTCCACACTGATTCAGTCAAAGCAGAGCCACAGGTGACTGCTGATGAGGAAGAAAAGCCGCAAAGGCAAGAAGAGGAGGATAAAGAGGAGCTAGAGTTTCCTCATGATCTGCTGACCAGCATAGACCTTGACCTCAGCACTGAGCTCAGTCTCACCTGGGGAATCTCACTTGGGTAGGTCTCAACAATTTCTCTCTCACACACAAACACATCAATTACCTCAGAGGACTGTGCTGAGGAGCAGACCTGTCATCTGAGCTAGGGGCAAGTTTCAACAGGACGGCTGATTCTTTTGAAAAGTTGTTCACATCTGATGCAAATTGTTTTCCACCTTCCGGTTATGTTTTGCATACTGGTAAACAAAAAAACTAATTTGCAAGATTTGCATTCTGGAAACAAAAATAGAGATTAAAAAGGTGATAATGGTTCATGTGTCTAGTGTAATTAAAGGTATGTTTTATCCAAAAACGAATTTTCTGTCATCATCATTTATTATTATCATTCCAATCCTAAATGACTTTCAAGAGCAGATATTTTGAAAAATGTCTCATACAGGTTTGAAACGACATGAGGGTGAGTAAATGATGACAGAATTAAAATTTTTAGATGAACTATGAAAGTTCAAGAAAGTTCAATGAAAGGTGCCATAAAATTGTGAGCTCACCTGGGAGTTGAGGATGCAAAGAATGGAGCAAGTTCATATCAGTCTTGAAACTGGAAGCCACAGATTAGATTGGACTCTGATACTTGCTCCCTCGTTTATGCCTCGTCTTACTAAGTTTCACAATCAAAGCAAAACACAGGACTTATTATATGAAGATCCTTCCTTGTACTTGCTTGGCTGGATAAACACAGAGTGAATTTCCATTAATCTCCGACTCGTTCCTATGGAAAACTTGACTGAATGGACAATTGGCAGGCCTACAAAAGAGCTGCGAACCTTGCCAGCTGTTAAGGTGGTAGAACCCAGACACACTCGATTTATATGATTTAATGGAGGTATTTACATTATAAATTATATTATTTATACATTTATTATCTATTATATTTACTGTGTAGTAAGTGTATATTACAGCAAGAGTTTCTCCAAGTAATTTCTGTTATTAGGTTTCTACCGAATAAGTTTCCATCTGTAGACATATGACAAGTTCTAGGAATAAAAGGACAAAATCTGTGAATGTTGTGAATTTCACATGAATAAATCTTGCAATGCATCACCATAGCCTGATAGTGGACAAAATGTTTGTTCCAAAATTATTTTGATAAAACCTGTCTTCTTAGATTTCTTTTACAGCTTGATTAGTAATTGAATCTCTAATTTATGAGGCTCATATTCATGGGTATTTATTTGTGTATGTGTGTGTATAGTTGTGAGCAGGGGAGCTTGGGTGAAATGAAGAATGAGACTGTGGCACTGGGTGGCACTGCCAACCCTCTGCTGGCAGGCCTAGAGCACTACATAGGGGCCAGTCCACCAGTAGTGGGCCTCATGAAGAGGTAACAGAGGAATAATTAAAATGGAGACAGAGAGATACCAGTCTGGCATAATAGACAGACATTGATAATTTGGCCAAAGTGTATTCATGTTTTTATAAATGTAATAGATTTTGGTGAGATCTCTTTTGCTCCATGTTGTGTTTTGGGTGTGACTATTGATGTGTGCTGTGTAAATGGAGTTCCAGTAAGCACAAAACATTTTTACTTTTTAAAATGTTGAATTTCAGTTGCAGTTAAGTTACTTTGTTGAACAAGTTTAACAAACATCACATAAAAATGTAAAAAAAGAAAATAAGAAAAACTGTGTAACCAATGTGCATTTTTATGTATTTGGATTACAAAAAAGATCAGTACCAAACAGCAACTTTGAGAGAAAAAAAATTCAAGTTGTAAATACATCTTGTTTAAGAAACATAAACATATCTACCTAAAGTAGCCGAAATCAATGTCGCATGCTTTTATGTTTTACAAATATGGAACAAAACTCTACCAAACTGTTTAATTTCGGTTTATATAATGTAATCAGTGCATTTAAATGGAACAGGCTTTAAAAAATGAAGCAAAAAATATTTTGTGTTTATATCATATTATGTGTTTAAATATTTTGTGAACAAAATGCAACAAGAAGCAGCTTGCTTTTTAATGGTAAACACATTTAAAAATGTCTCAAAATCAGGTTGGACATGGTAAAGACAGGTATAAAATGTTTCTGAAACATCGTTAAAATATGTAATTTTAAAAAATATATAAACATTTTATTTACATACATGAATACATCATCTGTCATGTTAAGTATTTAGGATCAAAAATGTTTTCACAACCTTTTCTTAACTGGAAAAACATTTACACAAATGTAGTTGTGCTAGCTGGGTTAGTGGTCTGTTGAACATGGTTGGCTTTAAAGCTGGTTGAGTTGGTTTGCTGTGAACTAAACTAGCATTGTTTTTGGTTGTGCTTTGATCGGGGAGCTGACATGACTCTTTAACACGCATGAGATAAAAGTTTATGGTTTACCACACTAGATCAATGTACAGCTTGAGAGGTGTCCTCCTTAACAGGAAGTCATGTTTGAGTGTGGTGTGCATATATTTGCGGTCGTTTTGTGTGTGTATGTGTTCATTTTTTTTTTGTTATGTTGAGAGAGTTATCAACACATTATTACATCTGGCTGCAATTGCATAGACTTGTGCGGACACAGACAGATGAGATCTACATTCATACTTGACATACTTGACATGTTTTAAGGGTGTACTTCATGTTAGTTTCTTTCAGCTAAATACGACTAAATCATGTTAGAGTGAACTGTATGTTTTTATACCATTTATGTTTTTAGTAATATTAATATTTATATATTCTAGATTGTGTTTTTATGCTAGAAAGGCGATAGAAATGCTCAGGCAAGGGCAGAGTATTGTGGGTATTGAAATTCTGCCTGACAGTGCAGTAGGGAGTGGCTGCAGTTCTATAATTCATTCAGACATGCAATATGCCAAAAGACCTCAAGTAAGTTTTAGCACATACAAGCATAATTGCTGTAACTTAAACTGCAGTACAGCTGTCTGACTTTCCAGTTATGCCAGAGAAGGGTTCTAAACTTTTTTTCTTGTCTCCTCTGATTGGGAGTGTCAGCTTCTAGTCATAATCACTTATTGAAAAAAGAAAAAGGCTCCGTGGTTGAGCCTGTCATCATCCATATCAGCAAGTTGGCAGATCACATCAGTGCTGTGGTCCAATCAGAGAGAAACCCATGAGAATCTGCTTTGTCATTTGTTTCCATTTGAGGTGAAGGTGATTGATACATTTTTAGTCTAAAATGACAGGCAAAAATGTGTTAGCAAAGCTGTCTCTGTTCTGTTAATGCCCCAGGAGGCACAGAAAGAAGCACAAGGTGAGACAGGCAGTGTGGGGGAAGCATGGTTGTCATATTAGATCAGCTTAGACTACTTTTTGGGATGTTAGTCACTGACTGTTTTTCAGCTCTTAAACGTGATATGCAGAGTCATAGTGATTCACCAGGCTCTATGATGTCTGCCGTAATAAGGTTGCTAGCAGGTTTTTTGGCTGGTGTTCATACGTATAGGTAGTCAGTTACACTGGGTCCTTAATGGGTGCTAAAAGCATTGAAGCATTAACCTTGCTCTAAAACGGCATGTGATTTTTCTGCCAAGTCCATAAGACTTTAGGCTATGTCTTTATGAAGGCTTTTACTTAGCAACCACTCTCATTTCACCTTTTCAAATTTACAAAGATCTTGATTATATAATCTCATTGAAAATTTAACATGATTGCAAGCGATTTATACTATTCATAAATTTGAAATGATGAAATGAAGTGGTTTACCCAATGGGAAAATAAATAAATAAAAATCATGGCACTGTGTATAGTAAACCCTTTTTTTTTCTTACACTGAAGAAAAATATTTTTTAGTTTCTAATTTAAATGTCTAAACATCCTTAAAACAAGGTAAATTTACTTGAAGCAGAATTATAATAAAAATACTAAATTTCATAGAATATATCTTGAATAAAGTTTATTAATTCACTAAAGTAATTCACTAAAATTTGTTAGATTTATGTTTAAAACAAAAACACTGTCACAGAGGTATGAAGTATAATCTTAATTCAAGATATATTCTTGAAAAAAAAACAAGTATCATCATGTAATTTACCTTGTTTTAAGACGAAAAAATACTGATTAAGAATAATGATTATTATTTTTTGCAGTGTGCGTGTGTGTTTTTGTTTTTTTTATGCTTTTAAAGTGATTAGTTTTGCCTATGCATGAACTCTCATCCTGTCTCCGGCATGAGGTGGAGTGGAGTGCTGTGGCTTGGTGTGGAATGAACAACTAACTGTTTCTCAGAGCAGTTTTATTCTAATGTAATTTTTTTGGTGAACATTGATAGCTGTGATGGTGACCAAGTTTCTACTGAGAGAGCATCACTGACCCAAGCCCACTTGTCTAGCAAATCTCAGCAACATGTTCCATCCCTCAATCCTGTGGCTGCCCAGATGGATTATGAACTCCAGGAAGCTTTAAGGGAATGTGAAGACGAAATGGCTGCTCTTGGCATATCCTCCCATGCAGACACATGGACTGCAGGTGATCTGGACAGGTGTTTCTCTGTAACCGTGCCTGAAAGTTATGAGAAAAATCAAACCGAGAAAACTGAAGTCAAAAAGGATTTTGGTTCATCTTCACATAAACCTGCCAAATTTCATGAAGGTTGCCATGGAAATGATGGAGCGCACACAAATGACTCAACAGCAGGTGAAGAGGGGGTGGTTAGCTTCAGAGATTATGTTCTAGGAAGAAAGCAAAGTAATGCATGTGCAGCTGGATCTGAGGATGTCAAAAACATTGAGGATATAACGGAAAACCACAGAGAAGAAGCAAGCCAGCTGTCAGAGGCAGAACAGCAAACAAAGTTAGAGATAGACGCAGCTGAGAACATAGCTGGTCAACAAAAGACACAAAGCATAAGGACACTTAGGACAGGTACACAAACAACATCAGAGATTGATGCGGAAAAGGAAACACTTACCCAGGATCAATCAATACAAGATATCTGCTCTTTGAAATACACCCTGGAGGATGAGAGTCCACAAGATGAAGACAGAATAAATGTTATAGCACAGACAACCCAGAGAGAAGCAGGAGTAATTCAAGAGACAAATCATTTGAATGAAGAAGATATAAGTTCTGCAAAAGCTACACAGATGATTCAGAACTCAGATGAAATAAAAATAAAGACACATAGTCAGTTAATTAGTGATTCACTGGATCAACATTCTGGTCACACGTTGCATTTAGAAGCTAAAATAAGCATACAACCAAACATACAGAAACAGGTGGAGTCAGGGACACGTCAGCAGATAAATGGACAGATAGAAACAAACACAAAAGTAGGATCAAGCCTTGACCATCAAAGACAGGAATTAGGACTCCCAGAACAGCTGAGTCCTGAGGATAAACAATTGATCTGCTCCCCACCTCCAGAACCTAAAGCTAATCTTTCCCTGGCTGAGGCTCCACCTGCTCTGTTACTGGACTCCCCACAGGGGCCTGAGCAAAATGATGTCCAGGATCAGACAGATGGACCCTGGATGGATTATGAACTCCAGGAAGCTTTAAGGGAATGTGAAGACGAAATGGCTGCTCTTGGCATATCCTCCCATGCAGACACATGGACTGCAGGTGATCTGGACAGGTGTTTCTCTGTAACCGTGCCTGAAAGTTATGAGAAAAATCAAACCGAGAAAACTGAAGTCAAAAAGGATTTTGGTTCATCTTCACATAAACCTGCCAAATTTCATGAAGGTTGCCATGGAAATGATGGAGCGCACACAAATGACTCAACAGCAGGTGAAGAGGGGGTGGTTAGCTTCAGAGATTATGTTCTAGGAAGAAAGCAAAGTAATGCATGTGCAGCTGGATCTGAGGATGTCAAAAACATTGAGGATATAACAGAAAACCACAGAGAAGAAGCAAGCCAGCTGTCAGAGGCAGAACAGCAAACAAAGTTAGAGATAGACGCAGCTGAGAACATAGCTGGTCAACAAAAGACACAAAGCATAAGGACACTTAGGACAGGTACACAAACAACATCAGAGATTGATGCGGAAAAGGAAACACTTACCCAGGATCAATCAATACAGGATATCTGCTCTTTGAAATACACCCTGGAGGATGAGAGTCCACAAGATGAAGACAGAACAAATGTTATAGCACAGACAACCCAGAGAGAAGCAGGAGTAATTCAAGAGACAAATCATTTGAATGAAGAAGATATAAGTTCTGCAAAAGCTACACAGATGATTCAGAACTCAGATGAAATAAAAATAAAGACACATAGTCAGTTAATTAGTGATTCACTAACGTGCCCATCCACACATACAGATAAACATTCTGGTCACACGTTACACTTAGAAGCTAAAATAAGCGTACAACCAAACATACAGAAACAGGTGGAGTCAGGGACACATCAGTGGATAAATGGACAGATAGAAACAAACACAAAAGTAGGATCAAGCCTTGACCATCAAAGACAGGAATTAGGACTCCCAGAACAGCTGAGTCCTGAGGATAAACAATTGATCTGCTCCCCACCTCCAGAACCTAAAGCTAATCTTTCCCTGGCTGAGGCTCCACCTGCTCTGTTACTGGACTCCCCACAGGGGCCTGAGCAAAATGATGTCCAGGATCAGACAGATGGACCCTGCAAATCAATATCAGAAGGTGAAACCATACACCACAACTACTGTACAACAGGGGACAAACATGAGAAAAATGTGTCTGATGCATCTGCTGTTGTGATTGATTCCTGCCACGCTAAAACAGCCCCTGAACATGAGCCTGTAGGGAGATGTGACTTAGAGACATATCCACTGGAGCAGGAGAATGGACCTCCTTTAAGTGGTGGAGCTGGCGCACATGCAGCACTGTGGGGGAATTCACATGCTCTGAGCCGAGCCGGTGCAGAAGAGAGGGAGGAGGAAGAGAGTGCCCTTGAATGGGCTTCAGCAGAGTCCGCTGCCTCCACATTGCTACAAACAACACCCACGATGCCAGAAATGATAGAAAGCGAGGGAGAGAAGAAGAGAGATGATGCATTCCAAAGTGCTGCAATAATATTACAAGCAGCAGAGAGAGAATCGGACGTGCTGGAAGCAGATGAATCTCCGAGCTCAGAGGAAACATTGAGTGAATTTATAGCTGAAAAGGGACAAAAATGCACCTCAGTAATTTTTCCGGACATTAAGTGCTCACCTGTTCAGAAAGAGGAGGCGACTGAGGAGAGCTGTGGCTACAAAATACCACACAACACAACGGAGAGTGAGAGGAAGGGAGGGGGTCTGCCGATCGCACTCTCCCCAGCCAGAGACAAGGATACAGGCACAGTCGATACAGAGGACAAAGCTCTGGTCACCTATTCCTCTCCAGGCATCCTTGGAACATGTGACTGGAAGGTGGAGAGTTCACAATCGAAGGAGAGAAAAGGAGAGAGCGAAGAGGAGGGGAAAAAGACAAGCGAAGGCGGAGCACAGAACGCAGCACAAGCTGGCAGGGTGTCACAGACAGAGGCAGCGACTGAGACGTGTCCATCCCACTGCATCACAGCATCACCAGCGGCAACACAAGACCAGAGTGACCTCATCCATCCTGTCACAGCAGGCACAGCCCCGTTTCCTCTGAGCATCAACAGAATAAACGACTGCGACTCTGTCAGCCCACCCCCTCCTCTTTCCCACATAAACGCTACAAAGACAGAAGTGCAGAGAGTGGAAAAGGCTAATCTGAATCCGAGCCCAAGTGCATCAGAAGCAGAACTGCCAGGCAGTGATAGATCACTTCCACCAGCAGTTTCTTTAGAAAACGAATGTCTCGCTGCGCAAGCCGGTGATCAACAGGTACAGAGCTCTTTACAGACTAGAACCGCAAGCTGTGACACATCCATCAAGACAGAGACACAGCAACAAAACCAAGAAACAACTTCTACAAGTGAAGACACATCTCAATCAACTAAGCTACAAGTAAACATGAGGGATATCGCCGCAAGTTGTACCAAATTGGAAGGACATATGTCTCCAAAAGGTATGCAGAGCTCTTTTGAGAACCAAAAGGATACAACATTGAAATGCCAAATGACTGAATGTGCCTCTCTGCCCCCACTGATGGTATTTGAAAGTCTACATCATCCAGTAAAAGAGGCTAGCTTCAACTTTAAAGGTTTTCTCAGCATCAGCAAACCAGCACTTCCTCTTCAGACAGAATCAACCATTGGCCAGAGAAATACTGACCTGCATGGAACAGAAAATGAACCTACTGCCACTGAAGGAGGTAAAAAGGGAAAAAATGGAAAGCAGAGAGAAAAAGTGGAACAAGTGGAAATGCCATTTAAAGAGTCAAAGGACTGCAGAGAAATGACCAGTACATCCCAAATGCATGGTGAGACTACTGTAAAACTTGAAGAAAATGTCAATGTAATTATGAGTAGCTGTGAAGACGATGGAAAAGTGACAGATGAAACTCCTGATGTCAGCAAGAGAAGTCCTGTTATATTTTCATCACTGTCAGCTGCAGGTGAGACCACCGGTGTTACTGAAGCTAAAGACATGGTTAATGAAACTCTGGAAGATGCTGAAGTAAGTAAAGAGAAACAAGAAAATAAAGAATGTATGAATGTTACTCAGATCACTCCATATATTACAGATGAGTCGGCATCCACTGAGAAGAATAGTGTTTTACTACAGGATGTATCTCCACAAGAGGGTCGTAACAGCAGCCCTGCTGTGGATGGTGAGCGGGCTGATATGCCTGTGTCTGAAGGAGTTGAACAAAGAAATACTGAAGTTCTATTTAACACCAAGGAAAAGCTGGATGAAGAGACTGATAAATCAAAGGGATGTGGGTTACCTGAAGCAGGTGATATAGAACTAACATGTCCAGGTAATTCAGAGAATCTTGTGAATGACAGTCGAGAGCAAAAGCCAGAAAAATGCACATGTGAAGTTGAGTCACAGGTAAAAACCAGCTCCATGTCTCCAGCAGCTGCCCCAGACATAGACAGCATGTGCCCATGCACTCAACCAGACAAGAAATTCAACACCGAGCAACCTACTACAACCTCAGAGATGAAGTTTCTGTCAAAAGCAGATGAGTGTACAGACATGCTGCCCTATCAGACTGAATCACAGTACAGTAATGAACTGATGAAAAATGATGCAGCGGATGCTGGGGACACAACTGTCCCTTCTCTTTCTGCAGTGGAGACTACAGTACCAGCACAAAGGGATCTTTCCTCAACCACCACACAAAGCACTAACAGTGATGCTAGGGATGTGTCTGTCATTGTACTAAAGGCTCCAGGCCCAATGCTGAGTCACTGTGAGTTCATTAATGACTGTGATATTGCTGTAGCAGGACCCGGAGAAGATTGCAGTGTGAACTGTGTGTGTGATTCTGACACAGATATTGTAAAGAATATTACAGACAAAACTAATCAACAATCAGATGCGAATGAAGAGATGTTAAGATCTCAAAATGCAGATGATCCTCCCTACCCTGTTGGTGTCTCCACACAGGAAATTGTAGCATCATCTGGGTCCCTTCTGCTCACAACTGACAGGGCAGAAGAGGCAGGTGGTTCAACTCTAGTGTTAAAGAACCCAGATATTGTTGGAAATGCAAAGATGAAACAGAATGAAACATCTAAGGGTATTGGAGAATTGGAGGATGTTAGAAAAGGGAAGAGTGAAGGACATTTTAATTCTATACATGAAAATGATTTATGCAATGCACCTACAAATGTTGCTACAGAAAATGAAGTAATTAATAAAGACACGTATGAAGAATTCAAGCACGTGAAGGGGGAAGAGGACAACAAGAAAAGTGTAAAGGAAACCAAAGAAAAATCCAATGCAAAAAATGAAAGTAGTTCCTCGCAGGAAGAAGAAATTGAACAAAAAAACGGAAAGCAGGGTGAAATGAAGGAGCAAGAAGAAATGCCTATTAAAAAGCAGAAGAATAGTCGAGAAGAGACCGATACCTCTGAAACATCCTGTGCTGATGAAATGCTTCATTATCAACCAGCTTTGACAAATCAGCAAAGTCCTAATGATGAAATCAAATGTGATTCACTCCCGATGAACTTGGAGGACAATCTCGTTACACTTTTGACTGAGGAGCCTGTTCAACATGTGTCTGTAGACAATGTAAAACTGAATAAAGATGTATCCAAAGGATCCAGGCAGGTGATAGGAGGAGAGCAAAACAGGGAGTGTGTGCAAGAAAATGAGGTACAAAATGTAAAATTAATTGCAGACAAGGACTGCAAAAAGAGAACAAATATCTCTCAAGAACAGGATGAGGCTGCTGCAAAAGAAAAAGCTGATCAAACAAAAGAAGAAAATCAGACATTAATAAATCTCTTCAATCTATCAGGAAAAAAAAAACTAGTAGATGAAACCATTCCAAGAGGAAAATTGCAGTGTAGCCCTATGCCTGAGCCTGGTTTAACCTCCAAAGGGATTACAGAAGAGGCTCTGGGTTGTAGAGGGGCACTAACTGAAAAATCTCCTCCAGTCATTGATCAGACCCTGTCTGCAGTGGTGAATGCTTCTCCTGAGAGAGATCACACACAAGATCCAAGAGGTTTGAGCCAGTCAGATTTGCCATTTTCACAGTCCCAAGAGCTCCAGCAGCAACAGAAGTTTGTGAGTGCCCTAGAAGCAGTGTTAAGTGTGAGTAAAAGCAACGTTTTAGAAAATGCTGAGACCAATAACAATGCAGATGCTGAGGCAAGTGAAAAGGAAGGGAAGGTGACAATGTACTGTAGTGCAGAGGCTCAGAGATCCCTAATCAGCACTTCAGAGAGTGCCACACTGGTGGAGGGCTATGACAAAGATATTGCTGTGTACAATATATGTCTAGAGAATGAAAAGAAGGCAATACAAACAATCAATCTTAATGGTGGGAAAATTCCTGTTTGTGGCGAAAGTACTACAAGTGAAATACAAACACAGTCAGATCCCAACTTTTCTGTAACAGCATCGTCAGCTTCTGAAACTTCAGAAGTCAAACGGGTTATAGAGGCAATAGAGGCAAAAGAGCCTGCCATCTCAGCATCACAGGAAAGTGTGAGTAAACATGCAGATTGTACCAAATCACAGGTCAGTGCGGATGAGCTTGGGAATGTTTGTAACGAAATACTTGACACCAAGAAAGGCTCAGAATTTCCTGTAAATCACTCAAGTGGGTTCACTGTGATTCCCACCCTCTCACACCATGAAGGAGGACTAAAAACAGAAGAGAAATGTTTAGACTCTGTTACCCCTGGAGACACTGGAAACACTGAGATCAGTTCTGATTCAATGAGTGATGTTGCACAGATGTCTCCTGCAGGAACGTCCCGAATTCAGCAAGAGAAAGAGTCCATTTTTCAGCCCTCTGATTGCCAGATCTCCACCACCACATCCTCTTTTTCTGCTTCTGTGCTCCAGAAAGGTATTAAAGAGGAAAAAGAGATAAGTGTGGATCAGGCCTCTAAAGATACACTAGAACCTAACACTCCTAATTCCACTCCCCAATCTGAGACAGCCAGCTGGAGGATGGAGCAGCTTAATAAGCATTTGTCAGAGCAATTCCCAGACGGCACCCAAAACACAGAGGAGCAGGATACACAGTGTTCTGAACAGCAGCTCATGCAGTTACAACATGTAGTAACTTGTTTGGACACTGAAAACACAATCAGTACTATGAAAGAAGAAGACACAGTTTCAAATGGCTTACAACAGCGAGAAGGAATTCAAGAAGAGATAAGTAAACAGATGGCGAATGAGGAACAGAACAAGGCCACTGAAAAGGATCAGACAGAAATGTCCAAAGGGGCTGAACCTAAGTCTTCACAGTCTGTAGTGAAAGAAAACATCTCCAAAGAAAAGTTGGAGGAGCAGTCTTTATTTTCCCCTGATGAAGCAATAGTTGATAATGTAGACCAGCAAACTGAAGAAGTTTCTAATGGGACACTGACAGAAATGAAACCGGTTGTGTCATTGTTATACCCTGAGACCTCTGTCTGCTTAGTGACTGACCCCCAGGATTCTTTCCAGTTCCCTCCTGCAGTCAATCAACAGTCTAGTCAGCAGCCCACTAAGTCTTTTATCCAAAGTTTACGTCAAAACACCACAAATACAGTTAAAAGTAGCAGTGAGCCAAGTCCTGACATAGCAGATGACTCTCCTGGAGACACGGAATCCCTTCTAATCAATAAAGCAATACAGAAAGATGACAGTGAAGCTATTGAAGATGAAGTCAGCAAGGTGACAAAAGCTGCAGATGTGTTGCTGGGTTCATGCACAGGAACAGTAGAGGTATCACAGGTTATCAACAGTTCAGACAGCCAAGTCCTCAGTGAAATCTTTATACCTGAGAGGTCAGATACAGTCAACTCCTCCGAAGGTTCTGATTGGCTCAGAGCTCTGAAGGAGGCAGCCTCCATGTCTCAGATCATTCCAGAGCACAGAGATGAGACTACCTGTGGATCTACAGAAAACAGGTACTTTTCAAATTGATGTGTTTGCTTTTAAAATGAGAGACAGTGAGGCAAAATGACTTAGTTGCGCTCATAGAAATGTTGAAAGAAACGTAGTGCATTTCATTGACACACAGATACAAAAAATATGTTTTATGCTCTTGTGACGTTCTGAGTGAAAATGGGGCCAAGTACAAGTACTACAGCCCATTATCTCCTGAGGGTGAGCTCAACAGTGACATCAACTCATGCCCTTTAGGGCAAGAAAGAATCCTTTCATACCCACGCGCAAACACACACTGGGCTTCTCATATTTGAGCGCGACACATACACTTTCATGCATACAGGCTATAAGGCGTTTGCATTGAGACATACAGTAAGCATAATTTGTTCATCTGCCATTTCTGTTTATTTTCTCTCCAGACCATCTGAGATCCACAGTTTGCCTCAGGCTGAACTAGAATTCCGAACCCCAACTGAAGAATATTTTCCCCCTGCACCTGAAGAGAGTTTTCCCCCTGCACTTGATGAGAGTTTCCCCCCTGCGCCTGAGGAGAGTTTTCACCCTTGGCCTGAGGAGAGTTTCCCCACTGCGCCTGAGGAGAGTTTTCCTCCTGCCCCTGTGGAGAGTTTTCCTCCTGCACCTGAGGAGAGTTTTCCTCCTGCTCCTGTGGAAAGTTTTTCTCCTGCACCTGAGGAGAGTTTTACCCCTGTTACTAAGCAGACAGAAGAACCACTAGACTGCAGGTGAGACCTCCTACATGCTCCTTATGCACTTTATGCACTTATGCAATAATCATGAAATTATTTAATTTATTTACCACTTTCTTGGTTTGTTATTGAGTTAGTTGCTACTTGCCACAAATAAATCCTTCTTAAATAATGACTATTTAGACTACAGGCTGCGAAAATAGATCTGTTTAGGTCCAGGGAACAACATATTTGATAGAAGGATCATGCAGTACAGTTGGGGGTGTCACTTTTTTGGAAATTTGAACATTCATTATTTGTCTGGATGGGCTAAATCTGATATTGCGTAATGCATTTTGTCCGTATTATTGCTTAAAGGTGGGGTAAGCGATTTCTGGTAACCAATTGACATTTGAAATCACCAAAACAAACACGCCCCTACCCCAAAAGGGTCTCGCCCCTATTTTGATAGCTCCGCCCCACACATACGTACGCAACACAGGCAACGATTAGTTCTGTGAAACAAAGCAAAACCAATGTTACACCGTGTCTACAACGGACGCGAGTGGCGCGGCGCGACAAAATACTATAGAACTCATAATCAGTGATGCTGTCTACACTATAGATATATATACATATCTATGGTCAACACTGGATGCGGCATGGCATGACACGACAAATCCCCGACAGAAAACTGCTGCTGCGTTCTATTCATGACGTATTGACACAAATTTCAAATGATTTTCAACGGTCGTTTTGTCGTACTAGACAGACTTTAGCTGTTGCGGCGCAGACACGGTGTTACTCACCTATCGAGAAGAAACGAAGGTTAAATTCCGTTATTGTAAGGAATGTATTAGAATACACAGGACTTTATGGGTGCAATTAAGATACCTTTGCTCTTGGTAATGTGCGATAAACACCTCTGTAAACAACCTGTATTGCTGTACTAAACCTGCTTTTAGACATGAACCCATAAAATGCTGTGATATATATTGTTTGTGGTATGTGAATTTACTTTATTTTATTTTGGAATGCTCAAAGAGGGTATTTTGAACTATGTGGGTTTTGAGGGTTTGTGTGTAAATGAAATACAGTGCAAAACTATAGCCTGATGGTTTTAGTCAGATATTTTAGGCTAGCTACCAACTTTCCACATGTACAAGCTAATATTATCTTGTTGAGATAACTGCTACCATTTCATTAAAGCTCTTTGTTTACCCTTCAGTGGAATCTAGAGAACATGTTTATTTTCTGTTGGTATTTAGGAAGTTGCAAATTTACTGATAACATCTTGGTGTTAGCGCCTCACCTACAACAGCTGAATGAAAACATGGCAATGTTAAATTTGAGAGCTTGTGCTAATTTGTTATAGTGCCTACCACAAAGTTACCAAATAGGTCACATACAACAGGCTTCTTTGTTTTACACATTTTATGTAGGCCATTATTCCATGTCATTTAGCTAGCTATGACAAGAGCTAAGCAACAGTTACCATGGCAACACAGTTAGCCATTGCAGTTATTTTGAGTTAATGGAACAATTATGTTAGTGAAGCTTTGAAAAGGGACTCTTAGTCAAAATGGTTAACAATTTTACATTATAAAAGGAGACAATAGGCCCTAATAATTGCAATTATTAAAAGATAACATTATTAAAAGAGAACAGTGTAACACAGCTCCTCTTAGCTCAAACCTAACCACACTGTACTTATCTAATTATGCCTTAAATATTGCTGTCAGTCAGTTTGATGGTGTGTGCGTATATAGGACTGTGAAAAAGCTGTATGGCGGCTGTGCTAACAGTAGTGACGTTGTTATTTTTAGCCAGTATATGAACACAGTACACCTAAGTTTTTAAAACAGGTAAAACCTGTTTTACAAATGTAAGGGTTTTATGGTCTTTTAACTTAATTTGTTCATTAGCGAACTAATAAAAAAAACAACTGATTCATTCATAATTCATAGCAAATATGAATATACTCTCTTTACTCTTGTACTATGCTTGACTGTTAGTTCAGCCTAGATATTAAAAGCCCATGTTATAAATATTTAAAAAAAACTGCCTTTGCAATATCTTTCAATGGCTGCACTGCTTAAAAATTAAATTTTAAATTTCCTGTGTCTGATGAATTTGTCAGTACACACTATAGACTATCCCTCTGTGTGTTACAGCATTGTTGTAAATGCCTTTTCTTGTAAAATAATTAGTTATTTAACGTCACTGTCTCATGTCTTCCAGATGTCTGAATCAGACAGCCATTAAATTGGTGACAGGTATTTAAAAACCCCTTCACTGTTGCTGAAATTTATCATGGACGTCTGTGTTTTTTCATCACTCTTGCTCTTTTAAATCAGAGTGAGAGAAAAGTAGCCACTGGCTTCTGCTGAGATGAAAACAAAAGCTGCATATAGATGCTATAGAACACTGTTCCTTTGCTGGCACAGAATTTTCCAGAAGTAATAAAGCGTATGTTCTTAAATCGCTGAGCTAAGAGAAGGGAAGTCATAATAGGATGCAAGGTTTGAAAAGGTTAGTGGTCTCTAGCATTAGGATGGTTGGCTACAGGACCAGTGACCTTGACTAGCATAGAGCTTAGAACATGCCACTGAATCTCATTTGTGTGAACACCCTCAATCTACAGTATTATCACCCTTTGTGTACTGGTGCATATTTTTGCTTTCTGCTTTTCATTTGATATTTTCAAAAATTTTTGGTAGTGGCAGGCAGTGGACTTGTAGAGGAAATGTGTTTTCCTGCAGTACCAGTTTTTTTCTATGGGCTAAAGGCATATGGGTCATTATTTACCTTGCTACTTGTAACATGATATTTATGTTTACATAAACATACTATTTATTCAAGTCAAGCCACATAGTCATCACGTTTTTAAATGTTCTTTTTTTCATAAAAAATAATGTGGAAAAACATTAAAATCAGTTATTTTTTACCTTCTTTTTGGACCATTAGTCAACAAATTCTCTGAAACCTTATCCATTGCTGTTGTTTGCTGGACAGTGTTTCTGTAGAAAAATGAATGCTTTATGCAATATTTTATTTTGTATTTTATAATATTTGTTTTATTTTTGTGCAGTCGATAATTTCTTCATTTTTTTTTTTCTTGAAGAGTCACTACCCACTTTTTCTTTTTGGAGAAAAGGCTCCTGGCTCAGGGTTTCAGGTTCATCCTAATTTAGCTAATCTCTGTTTCTTTAACACAGGAACACAACAAAGCTTCAGTTAACTTTGGGGCATGAAGACTTTCCCTACTCTCTGTCCAGTCCTCAGGCTCTATACTGCAAGTGAATAGGCAGATCTGTGTGAAAAGCTCTTTGTTCTGCTTTCTTATGAGTGAACAATAGATTTATACTCCTCATGTTTCAGATGCCCCCACCAGTGTCCCAATTCCCCACAACTGCTGTTGTCTCATGCTGTAAATCAATATGGATTAGCTTTTCTTTGAGTTGTCTCTCATTTTCATTCTCATTTTTCCAGATCACACCTACAGACCCTTTCATAATATATGCATTGCGATTTTGAATATATCTGTCATTTGAGAACATCAGGACTGATGGCTGCTTTCTCCCATGACCTCTTTCTGTTCTCAGGGGGGTTGATATATCATGACTTTGACCTGAGCAAATAGAAAGATCTGAAACCTATGAGAGAACAGCAGTAGTAAATCAGAGAGTTCTCAGGTCTGATGTACATGCAGTTAATTTATGCTTTATTAGTTGATTTGTTTGGATGTTGCTATTAGATACATTGTTTTTCCTGTATACTCTGTTGATTTCATGATGGGCAATTATTTAAATATGTTCCTCTGACCCCATCAACACCCATTTGACAGGCATTTTTGAAGCTTTAAGCCTCACTATGTAGAAATGCACTTTCTAGAATCTTTTTTACATTCTTAGAATGTAAAAATTCATTGCATTTTTATTTATGTACAGAAGTAATGTAACATTTTTAATGTTTGATGCATGTTATCAGGCTGAAATTTTGTTTATACTGTCAGATGATGAAAAATCATGAAGAAAGAAACAAATTCTTCTTTATTAAAGAGATAGCTCACCCAAAAATGAAAATTCTTTTAGCATTTACTCACCATCTGCATCTTGTTGTTCCAAACTTGTATGAATTTCTTTCTTCCATTGAACAAGAAGATATATTGAGAAATCTCAGTGTTTTGTGATCAATACAATGAAAGTCAGTGGGTTCCAATGTTCCGCCGAAGAAATAAAGTCATACAGGTTTGGAACGGCACAAGGCACAAGTAAATAAAGTAAATTTTCATTTTTTTAAAGTATATTTTTCAAGATACTACTAAATGCCCTAGGGGTCTCTCAGACCCCAAGTAGACCCTGAGAGTTATGTTTCTTATCCAGTTAAGTTTCTGTAATGTGAGAAACCTGCAATGTCACTCTACTTTCACAGGGGAGAGATGGTGTGATTTAGGGCAATACAAAAATAATAGAAACACAGAGAAACTATGAAACGTGTTACATAACAAAAGACAGGAGTGACCGCGTGCCTCCGTTTCTGTGTCTCAGTGTGTGAAAAAGAGACCTGTGTCTTTCAGCTTGGCATGGGGTCGGCTATTGTTTGCGTTCGCTGTGCTGATCGGCACAAGAGAGCTCAGATCAACAGGGAAAAGCTGCTCATCTTTTAAAGCACTCAGGTCCCTGGGGAGGGAGAGAGAGAGAGAGAGAGAGAAAGAGAGAGGGGGTTAGAAAGGGAGGGGTTATGGAGAAAACCAGCAGCCGCTTCACCAAACGCCACAACAAGCCAATGAGAAGACAGAGTTGAAGACTAGAGAGCAGGAGCATCGCTTATTCCCTCCCTCTTCTCTTGCTCTTCGCATCCTTCCACATCTCTACCCATAAGGCTTAGCAGTCCTGTTCTATTGTTGTCAAGGATACACAGCCTTCCCCTGATGCAATGTAGACGGAGACGAGGAAGGAGTCAGAGAGTGCTAAAGTAAGGGATGCTGAGGGCTGAGTGTAGGTCGCCCATATGTCCCTGATGCCATCTGCTCCAGATCTACTGCAGCAAAGCAGTGTGTTTGACGCCAGCCAAAGGGCCCTCAGGACGAGAGACGTGGAGGAACAGGAGGCGCAGGGTGAGGGGAGGAGGAGGGAGACGGGTGCCAGTGGAGATCATATAGCAGAGGATGGGAGCAGTGGAGTCCGCTGAGAACGGACAGCCCCCCTGTCCCTCTCAGGAGCGTCCCGAGAGCATGTGAGTAAGAACCAGAGGAGTAGATAGGAGGGTTCTTGATGACCTCATTTTCGTCGCTGGTGGTGTTGTTGTTTTCAAGTACCTGGTTTGCTCACCTGGTTTGAGTCTGCATCTGAGTATTCCTTCAGCGATGCCTGTGCTGTGAGAAAAATAAGTAACAAGTATAGTATTTGTCAGAGAAACTGCAATCACAAAGGAGGAGGGGATTGTTATTGTGTCATTGTGATGTCACAATCAGACATGATGTTTATTTACATTAGCCGTTTGCTGGCGTTAGTAAGGCTCTGCGTGTGTTTTTGCATAATGACGTTTGTGTTCGTCTGTCGGGCTTGCAGATGACTGGATGGGGGAGTAATGGCTGTATTTAATAAGAGCGAGATATGTGTTTTTGTGGGGGATGGAGGCTAATGCTGCAGCATTGAGAGAATGAGAGAGATGCTGCTGAAATAGAACACTGAGATGTGTTGGAGAAAAGGGGGAGGGGGAAAGAGGGAGAGGAGAGAGTGAGGCTATTTATGTTGTAGACATTCAGAAAAGCACAATGGCATTGATCATAAAAAAAACTTTTTGTGTAGGTGGAGTGGTGTTTCCATATCCCTGTTGGGTTGTAGTATAAACCTATGTTCACCCAAATGAACATTCTGTCATCATTTGCAGTACAAAACCAGTACAAAAAATTGACCAGTTGATGGGAAAAGTATTCTTAAAATGCATTCAAAATTCTGAATAACTTGTAATATATAATTATTCACGGTATTTAGAAGAGCCCACGATAACAATATCGTGCATATTCATTACCGTGACATATCGCATTACCGAATACCGGCACAAGTCTAGTAACCACAGATTTTCAAGGCCCAAATGTAGTAAATAATAACTTAAATTTGATTTGGCTTGCACAAAGCCTTCATATTGCTTGCACAATGGACTAGTTTTATGATGTTTTTATGTTGTTGTTTAGTCTTTTATGGAGCTTGTCAGACCCTGGTCCCCATACACTTTTATTTTATAGAATAGAGCAGTTCAGGCATTCTGCTCATTTTGTGTTCCATTGAAGAAATAAGAGTATACAGGTTTAAAACAACATAAGGGGGAGTAAATGATGATAATTTTTTTTTCCTTTAAAATTGTGTGTCTTTGTTTATAAAGCACATTCTAACATTTAAGATATTTTACTGCATTTAATCCTCATCCTGTTGGCCACAATGGTTATTTTACTGCTAAAACTGACCTTTGTGCAAAAAATCCTGGAATTTGTTGCTCTAGGCAACACAGCTGGGGATGATGGGAAAGTTTGAACCTGCTCTGAGGTCTGTGCTTTAAGTAAAAGTATTGCAGCACCATACAGTGTTGCTCGTTCAGCCATGACTAACATAGCTTTTAGCGTCTAAAGTTTGGCTTATGCAACCCCCTTTTAAGAATTCTTACATAAAATAACATGCAGAGTTTACGTGGGAGTATGAACTGCTACTCAAAAAGCTTGATATTATTAGATTTGTCATTTAGCTCACCTACTTGTACCAGTAGCTCATGACAAAATGGAATCTGATGGAAGAACCTTTAAGCATTGCCTTTTATAAAATCTTGCATTCATAATTAAAAATTTCCCCCCCCCCCCAGCTTATGCAACCCCCTTTTAAGAATTCTTACATAAAAGAACCTGCAGAGTTTACGTGGGAGTATGAACTGCTACTCAAAAAGCTTGATATTATTAGATTAGTCATTTAGCTCACCTACTGCACCAGTAGCTCATGACAAAATGGAATCTGATGGAAGAACCTTTAAGCATTGCCTTTTATAAAATCTTGCATTCATAATTAAAAATTACCCCCCCCCCATACAAGCCTTTATTTTTACTTTTTTATTTTCCTTTGGCATTCATTAAGAGTTGTCTTCGGCTCTGCATAAGCACTGTAATGCACTTGATGCACTTCTATCTCATCATTATTAATATATGTAATTTTTAAAATATATTTTAAAATAAATATGTTCACCAAAACTGCAGTTATTTGATCAGTAATATGGTAAAACTGTAATATTGTGAAATATTATTACAATATAAAACAACGTTTTAAAAAATATATATTTTAAAAAGTATTTTATTCCCATGTTGGCAAAGCTGACTTTTTAACAGCCATTAATCCAGTCTTCAGTGTCACAAGATCCTTCAGAAATCATTCTAATATGTTGATTTGGTGCTCAAATAACATTTCTTATTATTATCATTGATAACTACAGTTGTGCTGCTTAATATACTTTTTTTCAGGATTCTTTGATTAATATAAAGTTCTAAATAACCTCATTTATTTCAAACAGTAATCTTTTGTAACATTATAAATGTCTTTACTGTCACTTTTGATCAATTTAATGCATCTTTATTAATTTCTAAATAACAATAAATTATAAAATAATAAAATTATAAATCAACTTACTATAATATACAATATAAAATAATAGTTTTTTTATGTGCCATTTTGTCTCTCTTTTACCCATAATTCCCTGTTTCCTTTCCATTTCTCATATCAGTTTAGTGGCAAAATATCTAAAATAAAAATAATAAAATGTGAAAAATATCTGTATCATCATTACACTGTGATGTTTTTCAGTCATTTAAAGGGGTCATATGATGCTGCTAAAAAGAACATTATTTGGTGTATTTGGTGTAATGAAATGTGTTTATGCGGTTTAAAGTTAAAAGGAAAAATTGAAATCGCATCATATGACCCCTTTAATGAAAATCTCTATATTTATATTCCAGTTCTGACTTTAGTCACTAGCACTTACCCACTTTAGAATACTGATGCCATGTCATGAGCACTGACATTCAGATCTACTGGGAAACATGTACACTGCAGGAGATTTCATGCACTGCTAAGCATTCAACTCTGTGAAGGCTGTAATCATGTGACCTGCACTTTCTTTCAACTGTTTGACTAGCATATACATACAGTATATGGTCATGTACTATTGGCTAACCATCACTTCTGTGACTTTCAGGTTATCTGGAGTTTGCTATTGTGTTGTAAGGACCATTTTGTTATTCATGCAGTATTACATGTTACAATAGGGCTGTCATAGGGGCATCCAGCAATCATGTGTACTTTTGTTCCAACGTTATGTCTCACTGTGTGATGTCACCATGAGTCCATTAGACATCCATTATTTCTTTTGACAACCTAGTGTCAAAATGAGCAACGTGGTGAATCAGCTTGAGATGCCCCATTTGGTGATGCATATGACCAGTAGCTTCTCCTCCCTGTCTCTCATCACTCCTATGAAGCCGCTGAGACCATGGCATAAGCTCAGTGCTGCAGGAGATCTAGCACACATAAAATATTGAGAGTATGCCTGAATTATTTGATAGTTCTGGTGATGAAAGCTGGTACGTTGCTGTATTCCTACAGAGAGGAAGCAGTACTTTGCTGAGGAACCTTGGTCCTGCAGTTTTTTGCACTGTTTTGTGGTACTGCAGGATTTCTGACTTGAAATATTAATAATAATTAACATAAAATATAGTTTTCTTTCTTAGCATGATGTAAGCATCACATCTTATGTGGAACTGAATCGCTGATTATCAAGACTGGGAAAATCACACTGAGAGTTACTTCAACTTGAGCTGCCAGAGATTATGTCTCTAATGCCTGTATTATAGCTCTGTGATTTAACTGTTTAATCAGTTTATATTGAGATGAATAAAGTGTTGAATAAATTCTAGGTGTAAAACTGCCAAAAGGAGTGATCACCTCATAAAACACTGATAGCCATTGGTCATTTTGAGATATGTGTATATACTCTTCTGTCTTTGGATGAAAAATGTATTTAAATTTACTTTGGGAACTTCTAATTTAGGATTGGAAACTGGGGCAATGTTTCGAATAGCATACTAGCATACTATTTACAATTGCTGTAGTATACACCAGTTGGAGCAGTCTTTGTCTCCCTCGACTGGTCAACCTCTGTCATTACTTCAATCTCTAGTACATATTGTACCCTCTGGCATAAAAATGAGCAAAGCACAACCTTTTTTTTTTTTTTTAAACCAAGGTGTTTTTTTCTTTATCTTATTTCAAGTTTAATTATGCTTATAATGAGAATTATAGAACATGCACATAGTATAATCTACAGAAGTATCGTGTTAGTGATATGTTAACACCATTATAATGCAGATATGTAGAGAGCTGTTTTTAATCATTCTCCTCTCTGACAGACTAATAGCTGTCCTTTTGGTTCAGGTTAGCTTTGTTTGAACAGTATTGTGGGTTGTCACGCTCACAGCAGTGTCTGTGGCTAGAACCCAGCGGTGCTGTTCTGTGCCAGACAAGCCTGGCTGTCTCCAAGCAGACAAATTCACCTAAAAATCCCTCATGTCTTCTGTCTCCTTTAGCTTTTCAATTTTCTCATTTTTTCTCAACTCATTTTATTCATTCATTCATTCATTCAGATGCTTACTTGTTTACTAGATATTTTGTTCTGCAGCATCTGTAGATTCTTATGCTGATTATTTTCATTTACTGCATTTTAAATTTACAGCTGGAATTTGCAATTACTCCCGTCTCAGTAGCATTATTAAAATGTTAAATAAGATTTAATTAACAGAGATGTATTATATATATATTTTCCACCATCTAGAAGAGAGTTTCAAATATGAAAGAGTAGGATGTGGAAAACCTCTTCTTAGTTTTTTAAAACCCCGAGAGGAACATAAACTTGATGATACAGCGTTCCACATAATTTCCTCTGCAGACTTTTCAGAAATAAATCAGTGTTTTATTTTCCCATTCCACGAAATAAATGGGTTTTTATATGTGCTATTAGACGTCCTGTGCATATGTGGATCTATGTGAAAGAGAATGAAATTTGAGGCTTCGGCCAGGATTTTGTTGCCAGTGTGTGCGTTGTCTAGCACAGCGTTTCTCAACCAGGGGTCCGTGGACCCCTAGTGGTCCTTGACATAAGGCCAGGGGGTCCGTATAAAGTATAAATTTTTGTATATTTTGACATGACATGTTCCCATGAAAGAAAAATCCAATATAGCTGATGATATGGCCAAATACTGGACAAGTCAGCTAACTTGAATTATACTTGACTGCATTTGGTCCTCACAAAGACACAAATGATATGAGTCAATTTTGTTCTGGGGGTCCTTGAGGATGGTTCTGAATTGGACTGGGGTCCGGTACGCCAAAAGGTTGAGATTCACTGGTCTAGCACATGGGAGCATATGTCTAGAGAGCACTGTCACCATGGCAACAGTGTGCTTGCCAGATATGTGAAAACATCCCTGCACAGGCTGAAACGCTCATCAACCGATAATTATCTCACCCAGTGTCATTAACACACTGAAAGCAATTAGACTGGAAGACTTTTGAAATGTTCCTTGCCATCTGTTTTTGAAGTATATTGTATGTAATATTAATATTGTCCTTGAATACAAATCAATATTGTAATATAAACGGTATACAGTATTGCAACACTTGTAAGAAGCATACTGTTTGTATTGCTCTAATTCTCTATTTGCATCAGATTAGAGCATTACATCCCAATGATTTTGGGTTTGACCTGTACTTTGAAATAAATGTTAAACATGGAGACTATTGTTACCTCTCATTCACTCATTCCCTTTGTCACAGTATATTAATTTACACCTTTAATGAAAAGCCTGGCATCTGTTTAATTTAAAAATACTGTAGGTACAGTATTTAAATGAATGAACTGTTGATTGACCGTAAAAATGTGACTTACCATGGAGGACCACTACCATTTTGACATGCTGACAAATGCAACTCGTGTTTGTAAGTGTACACTGGTCAGATGCAGAATCATTTCTACTGAAAATACCAGAAGGCTGATTCATGCTGATTTGCTCCCAGTCTAGATTGTCTTGTTGGTTAAGATCCCTGGTTCGCATCCCATGCTGAGGACTAACATCCAAAGCATGTGCAGTTTTTTTCAGTATGGAATGGGTGTGTTCACTGCACTGAAAGCATCAGTACATTCATCAGAGTTTGATGCAGCAGAACTGTGTGTGTATGACTCCAGCCAAGTCCTTGCTGTAGATGCTAGTAATGAAAACATGACTTCAGACAAAGAAAATCATGATGGAATTAATAGAAAAATCCTGTTTTGTTCTATTCTTGCATTACAGCTGGTATTTCAGCTTGGATAGAGAGAAAGAGATAGATAAGATGGAGGAGTAATGGAAAAAATATATAGAAAAACACTGATTTTCTTTATATTACAACAGCCCGAGTGGGAAGTCTGCTTTTCTCCTCACCGTGGGGGAGGGAAACGTGCCTGAGGATGAGTTAAAGGGAGAGAGAGAGAGCCAAGCAGTGAGTCTGCGAGTGGCGAGTATCTGCAACGGGTTTCATTTGGATAAAGCCTACCTTCAGCGATAGATCGAAGGGAGAGAGAGCGTACAATATTGAAAAAGAGGGAGGGATGTGGAGAAGGGGATGTAACACACAAAGAGATAGAATCAAAGCTTCAGATTTCAGGAATTGCCATTGGGAATAGGGAAAGTGTATTAGTGATCGGTGGCAGATATGGCAGTGAGCGCGTGGCAGGCTCTGTCTCCGCTGCAGTGGGCTCGCTGGGGCTGGGACACACTGCTGGGAGGGACATTTGGAGAGGATGGAGCAGACCCAGCCCTAGGGCTTGTCCAGCACCTCAGCTGGACCTCCAGACATGGTTACATGATCCATGGCAGGCAGAGGTGAGCATGGGGTAACAGCAGAGAGAGGACAGGGACTAATGCGGTGAGACTGGGTGGGGGTCTGCACATCTGTCTGAGGCTGCGGCTTTGTTGCTGTATTTGTACAAATGTTTTCACCTATGCTATCACATATTACATGTCAGATTTGAGTATTACTGTATATGCTGATGCCAAGACCAAAAAAAGGTTCACAAACCGACATTTTGTGTTGTATTGACATAAAAAAGCAACATGGGCATCATCAGTCTTGGCTGAAATGACATAAATATGTGAAAATAGCACCTCCACTGTGATTCTCAGTAGTTTAAAATCAAATAATGAGTGAATATAGTGAATGAAAGAAAATGGACTCCATGACTGAGCATAATATGTGTTTGAGCTGCTGTTATTGGTCTCCTCCTAGCTGCAGGTTCAGCGCTTTAATTTCCATCTGTAATAATCCACCAGGGCCTACTAGACATATGCTGATCCAGGCGTTTGTTTATAAGATCTGGCACACGATGAATGATTGTTTAATATACTTTAGGAGTATCTGAATTTATTTGATCCATCGTGTAGAGTAAATATGAGCTGTGATGTGTGTGGATTTGATGCAGCTTCTTTGTATGGAAACAAAACAGACGTGATGTTTATTCTTCAATTAGATTATTAAATCAACTCTTAATTCAATATACTCAGACTTTCTTCTGTCTCATTGTCTCTTCTCTAGGAGCTCAGACTCAGACGGAGCATTCGAAACCCCTGAGTCCACCACCCCTGTGAAGTCTGCTTCACCACCAGTGCCCTCAACAGAGCCCCCCTGCACCAAATCAGAGGCATTGTCCCCAGAACACACAGGTACGTTTAGATCTCCATTCCATTACAATTCATACCACAGATTGTCTTATGTGGAGTCAAGTTATTTTATTTATCATTTGAATAGCTTCAGGAGGGTTTACTGGACTTTGAAATGCTTAAGATTGCAGGACATTGACAAATAGTGACACTGTGTCTTGTTTTGAACAAATTCTGTAATATTTAATATAAAGTCAAAAATGGACAATATTAAATGACAATAAATAGTAAGTGAATAAATACTATAGCACACAGCATAGAGCAAGAGTAAATAGTACTATTCTATTCTAACTATTCTTAACTCTAAAGCTCAGGAAGTGTTATGGAAAACTAAGTAACTATATCTAGTTATCTAGTATCTAAGTATCTGTAGCTAGAAATATGAACCAAAGCTAGAATATGTTATATGCAATGTTTAGATGTTAATTTGTGCTTTGTTGGAAACAAAGAGATGGAGGTCTAATTAAATTCTTTATTCAATATGTCTGTTTCTATTCATGACTTTATATATTTTTAATCAGTATTCCTGTTTGTTTTATTTCTTGTTCTTAAAATTTTGTTTAAAAAGGCTGCCTTTTTACTTCCATTATTCTCTGACAAGAGTACTGTAGTCTTTGTTATCAAACACTGCACTTGTACCCTCTCTAGTGGATATACAGTGTATTGCTACTGAATGGTTTTTTTTTTTTCAAGAAAGGGCTATAAATCAAAACTAACAAACAATACTCCATACTTTATGCTTCTTAAATTCTTCAGTTGTTTAACATAAAATAATATCAATCTGTGAGTACTATTCTGTGATCTTGAAAGCATGATTTGTTTTCAAAATGTATAGTAACATGTATAGTAACACGTCCTTCTCTATCTTCACAGCTTCCACTGCTGACATCTCTGCCAGTGAAGCTCAAGAGCCGAAACAGCTTCAACCTCTCAGTCGCTCTCAATCCATAGTCTTTGATGAGGACAAACCAATAGCTGCTAGTGGCACCTACAACCTAGATTACTTAATTGCTGGTGACCCCTTCCCAAAATCTAATTTTGGGTCTGGACCATCAAGCCGAGCGCCTCTTACCCGCTCTCTAAGCCTACAGTCTGGTGAGTTAGAGAGCCCAGGAGACAAACCCTCAGGAGAAACCTCCGAAAAACTCATTCACTCACGAGCAGAGTCCTTCAGCACAGGAACAGAAAGCGCTCCAGGAACCCTTCGGAAAGTGAAGAAGCCCCGTCCAAGTTCCCTCAAGAAGAAACCTCTTTCTCGGCAGAACTCAAACCCAGAGCATTCCTCTCCCAAAACAGTCTCCTCTAGCAGCACACCAGAAGAAAAAAAGAGAGGGAAACCCCATCCCGAAAGCCCCTTGCAAACCCAAGAGAGGCCTAGTTCCTCTCCCAGCCCTAGTCCTAGTCCTGCTGGTACCCTGCGGAGGAACAGGATAAAGACTCGAGTTGAGAGTCCTCCACCTTTGGCTGAGGAGATCACTACGTTCTCAATATCGAGCCAACTCCAACCGGAGCTTCCTGATCCTGTACCTGAGGCTCCAGCTGTCCACGACGAGGAGTCTCCTATCCCTCCCATTGCCTCCTACAAATGGGATCCGGACAATTTTGAGAATATTGACCCATTCTGTACAGGAGGCAGTAAAGTCGCCAACTCGCCGGTCTTGGGCAGGAAAGTCGACTTTACATCAGTTTCAGACACCCCTGTTGCTGTAGAGGAGCCTCGTGCCTCTTCCCCTGCTAAAGAGCAACCCATTAACATTGAGGAACAGCCAATCACCAAGTGCCAACCAGTCAGACTGGAGTTTGACTATTCAGAGGACAGTGGAGAGGCGCCACGCAATACTCCTCCTCCTAAAATCCTAGGCAAGAAACCAGGGGCCAAGATGCCCATCCGAAAGCCCAAACTGGGGATTAAGAAGGCCCCTCCACCCCAGACAGAGCAGCTAGACAATGCACCTGTCCCTGCACTTACAAATGACATTGATGATATCCCGATCCCTAAGGGGTCATATAACTTTGATTCCATCAAGTGGGATGACCCTAACATTAATCCATTTTCTTCAAGAACTGGTATCCCCAACTCTCCTGGCCTGTCTAGAGGATCTTACAGCTTTGATCCTGATTCCTCTGATGACTTAATCGATCCCTTCAGATCATCCAACAAGATGGGAAACGCGCCTCTGAAAGCTGCCTCTTTTGACAAGTCCAACAATGACAACGAGAATGACAATGATAACATTGTTGAGTTGGAGGATCACAACCAGAACAAACCTGCCAAAAACAAGAAGAAGCCTCTCAAATCGTAAGTCTGCACTTACGCTATTTTCATTTCAAAGTACATCATCGTGTCAGTCATCCATTGTAGTGCACTATATGTAATTCTTGTAAATTTTCCTGTGTATATTTCTAAATCGTCAGATACATGTGTATATGTGAGTGGGTGTTAGTACTTGTTTGTCAGCCTCTGTCACATGTCTGTTGATCTCGCGTATCACAGGAAGTCCAGCAATGTCTCTTCTCTGTGTTGTTTCTTGTAAGTAGAGAGATGGTGGAAAAATCAGCATAAGTAATCATATAGCTTAACACAAATGTCACTTTAACATGTTTTAACTCATGAGCTCATGTCAATTGATTTATCATTCAATTTAATACATATTATGACTGATTCACATCACCTCCATCGTCCTCGGCTCCATGTTTGATATTCTCTAATGAGCATGTGTTGCCATCTAGTGGACCCTCAAACAAGTACAGTTGATTCCAGGAACAAATGTGTACAGGGGGTACAAACTTTAGGCTAGAAAACATTATATGATCGAGTTACAATGTCCATGTGATCCAAGTTGAGCTTTATTGACTGCGCTTTTTTCAATGAAACGGACATGAAGATCGACATTTCATCTCTAAAATCTCTGAATGAATTCCTAATCCAAACATTTTTATGAGACTCATTTCAGAGATCCTGCCTCCTTAGGGTGGCCTAGTGGATAATAAACGTTGCAGGTTTTATTACAGGAAAGCAGACCTGGAATGTTGACAAGGGAATCTTTATTGTGCCTTTGAGCAAGACATTATTTTCCTTGTCTACAGCTGTTTGGGAGCAGTTTTAAGTAATATTACTTTCAAACTGTGAGTTTATTGGATCATTTGTTTCAGATTAATCCATCTAACATATTTTGCTCAGCTGCAGACTTTCCTCCACAGTTCTCACACAATTCAGGGTTTTCACCTTATTTTTTTTTTCAACACAGCTGTCTTTTCAGATTTGACATGAGGAGTGAAGCAATACTCCTGAAATATTTACATCACACTTACATTATGAAATGTGCCAAAAACAGCAACAGAATAAGATTTGAAATGCTCGTATTATGTGAGGCATCTGTCACTTTCTGGGGTCAGTGAGCAATTTAACAGGGGCTACAGGGATTAATACTAAGTGGGTCAGGGCAGAGACTGTGGAGCATTAAGGGTATTTTTTGTTTTTATTTTCTAATTCTAAACCACAAATCTTTACTGCATAATCGCTGAATTTTTGCAAGACATATTTCCAATTCATCTCCAGTAGCTGTTGGTCTTAATTTCCTGCCATGATTCCATTCGTAAAGACTGTATTAGAAAAAAATGTATGTTTTCTATAAAAAACACATTTACACAAGAACATAACTAACTGAAAAACATAACATTGATATAAACCCAATAATAGAAGAATCAATCATGATGTAAACCTTGAATAATCCATTATATTTCGTGCTAGTAAAATCTTAACTCATGAGATTTAATCCTTAATAATAAGCACCATCATTTACTGTAAGAATTACAATATATTTGCATTGTCAAAAGGTTTTTTTTAAACCTTTATCAGAACAACACAACAGGTATGTATTATTTAACTAAAACTTTTATTCAGTAGAACATTATCTGTATAGTATCTGTCAGAAAACTGCTGTGCATAATAAATGTGGTGGTTGGTGTGCACACAGTTGGGTTTTTAAAAAAGATTTATATGCTGATTGAAAAAAAAATTGTTTTGATGTTGTCTTTTGTTCTAGATTGATAGCACACATTTCTGTCTTGTTTTCTTAAACAGTAACACTTTTAGAGTGAAGAAATCACCAAAGAGGACTCAGATTACTGAGCCGTCTGCTCAAGTAAGTTAAGACATGAGAGTACATTCACCTACAGTACACTCACACAGTCACTGCAGATGTTCATTCTGAAGATGGTCTGTTTCTCCCCTTCGCTGTCACCTCATATCATAACAGTGTTGTCCTGTGTGTTCTCCACTCTCGCCCTCCACTTCACACACACATAATCACCTGCAGGAGCACTCGCCTGATGCCAATCCCGAGCCTTCACAAGATCACGCCACAGATGAGGAGAAACTGGCTTCCTCCACCAATCAGAAATGGACTAGACATGACATAGAGTTGGAGCTGAACTCTGACCCCCAAGACTTCCCGCAGCCGACTGACTTTACAACTTTTGTCAACGAGAACAGTTTACCCACACAGAGTGATGGTGAGAGAGTGGAGGAGTCTCTTATTATGTTACTACATTATCTCTAAACATGAGTCATGGATTTTCTGTCCACAGTCCTGCATTACTTTACATAGATCGCTTGGAAGAGTAAGAAGAGGACTATGTCAAAATGACATTTATTTTCTGTTGATTTTGGGGTAAAATGTTTTTGTGAGATTCACCCATCAGATAACCCCTTGTGATACAAGTTTGCCTATAACCCCAAATGACCCAAAGCTGACCTGTTTTATTAGCCTTTGACCTACAGGGAACCATTTGCGCCCTAGGGCAGTTTCTGCCTGAGACTAACTGGGTCAGTAGTACAGAGGCAGATGATTTATAGTGTCACTCTCATATTGGTTCTGTCAGTCTGAACTGATGATCAGCATAGAAAGAATATTCTTTGAAAACCTTATATTATTATTAAGTCCTAACATAACCTTTATAAAACATTTAACCTGTCATATCTTCTCTCATTTTCTCTGATGTCTTTTCTGCAGTTACAGACTATGAGATTGAATACATGGAAAAGATTGGTTCCTCCGCACCTGTGAGTATCTACCTGAATCATAGACACACTAAACTTAGGGAAATTTTCTACAAAAGCAAAAGCAAGTGTGTGTGACTAATGTTAAATTACAGCTTTGTATTTATGTGAATACATGAATGTTTTTTACAGCCTCTCTCTGTGAAGAAACCATCACTTTATCTGAAGCTGGACTCTGTGACAGACAGTCCAACGAAGACTTCCAACATGCAAGATTCAGAGCCCAATTCTCCCTTCACTGGGTAAACCAAACACACACACACAAACTAACATCATATATTATTATTTGTATCATATATTGCTTAAAAAACAATGAAATGACTTGAGATTAGTAGATTAGTAGTAGTCTGTGTGAAAATATTTTCTATTCAAACATGAAATCCGTCTGTCAGTTAGCACCTGCTGCTAGACTACATAAATGCACCATTATGTTGACAAAAGTAAACAAACAGTAAAACCATGAAGATTATTTTAAAGGAATATATTTGTTAAGGTGGATTTTGGAGTACACCATTCTCTCAGAAAAAAGGTACAAAACTGTCACTGGGGCGGTACACTTCTGTTACTAATTAAAAAATGTTTCTTGAAGTTACTAATACTTTTAAAGTATCAACTCGATTCCCATGGGGTCTTTAAAATGTTTTTACTGTACTTTGGCAGTGTATTCCATGTGTTTAATTGTGTTGGTCTGATGCTTCACAGGAGCTTTGAGGAGATGGAGGCTCAGATCTCGCAGGGGAAATCACCTGTGCTGCCACCACATGGTGCTCGTGACTCCATGGCCTCAGAGAAAAGCAGAAAGAGGGACAGTCAGTCTCAGAATCGAACGCAGAGCAACGAGAGAGATGGAGCAGTAAGTGTAAACCAGTCAAACAATGAAAGATAGATTCAGCACCTTTAAGAGTGTGTTTATTTCATTAGCTCAGATAACGTGGAGCTCATACAGTCAAAATGCATGAAAACCACCACAAATGTGTGAAGATGGGGTTATTTTTATTTTGTTAATACTAATGATTGCACAGCTTATCTGATGCATTTACAATGCTACACATTTTTGTTTTCAGTCTTAAAGGGACAGTGCATCCTAAATAAATAAATAAATTCTGTCATTATTTACTCACCCCCATGGTATTTCAAAAACGTATGCTGTAATTTTTCAGTTTAACACAAAAGGATGATTCCTGAATGGTATTTAATTAAATTAAATTAATTAATTAATTAATTAATTAATTAATTTCAATTCATGGTAAAGGATGGTATTTTTGACCAATGTACACTCCTCTTTTTTATATAACTGTCTGTTTTCCAATCATAACAATAGTAAATAATGACAGAATTTTTATTTTTGAGTGAACTCTCCCTTTAAGACAATTATTTTGCTAGGCATGCAGCTTACTCAGGGTCTCCCCACCTGAATCAGTACCGCAGACTGTTTATTCATAAGCTTTGTAAACCCATAATAGAAGTGTTAGGATGCACTAGGCTAAATACGAGCTTGCCCTGCCTCACTGACACCAAGACACCTCCTACTCCTCTTGTCCCTCTTCTGCTCTCGGGCCCAATGCAGTCCCCCATCCAGGGCCCCATGGATCCCTCAGATCTGCTCCTCTTAGACAGGCTGTCTGATTCACCTGCCCCTCTCAGCTACTTGGAGCCTGATCTGGCAGAGACCAACCCCACTGTCTTCGCTCAAAAACTGCAGGTGTGTAGAGAGAAGCCTACCAGCCAACTATCTCTTCTTCCCTGGTCCTTTGTGTGTGTGTGAGAGTGCGTGTCTTCATTCAGCTGTGCTTCACTGTGTGTTTGTTTGTCCCTCCAGTCTTTCATGTTCCTTGTCTGCTTTGTGTTGTCTCCCATTTTTTTTCCCCTAGTGCTGGGGTCAGGAGATGTTAAAGGAATAGTTCAACCAAAAATGAAAATTCTGTCATATTTATTCATCCTCAAGCTCCGAAATGAGTAAAAAGCACTATAAAAGTACACTACTATTCAAAAGTTTGGGGGAATGATTTAAAAAAAAGAAGAAGAAATTAATACTTTTGTTCAGCAATGATGCATTATATTGATCAAAAGTGATTGACTTTTACATTGTTGCAAATTTTATTTTTAATAAATGCTGTTCTTTTGAACTTTCCATTCATTAAAGAATCCTAAAAAAAATCATGGTTTCCACAAAAATACTATGCAGCAAAATCTATCATAATAAAAAATGTTTCTTGAAGGATCATGTGACACTGAAAACTGAAGTAATAGCTTGCCATCAGAGGAATAAATGAAGTAAAAAAAAATATATATTAAAATAAAAACAAAAGTTACTTAAATTTTAATAATATTTCACAATATACAGTAACTGTTTTTAGGAGGGAGCACAAGAGACTTCTTTCAAAAACATTAAAAAAAATCTTAATGTCTGCAAATATTTTAACTGTATAGTTTCAAGTCTTCTGAAGTTTGATAATTCGCATGGACAACTTTTATATTGCTGTTATGGTGCTTTTTTTTTTTTAGAGCTCAACAGCCCCTGGTCCCTATTCACTGTTATCACAAGGTATATCTTCAGATATTCTGATAAATATCTCCACTTGTGTTCCACTGAAAGACAGAATTTTCAGTTTGGCTGATTTATCCCTTTAAAAAAATACATGCTATTAATAAAACTCCTAGAAAGGGTCGATGGATCTCACCACATACACAACATTCACAGTAAATTGTGTATGAGTGTCTGTTTGTGTGTGTACAGTATATGTAAGATTTTCCCCCTCAGGTTTAGTATTTGTGTGAGGCCAGTACAACACTAACCCCTCTTTTCCTCCTTACCCCATCCCTACTTCATGGGTCACTCCCCCTTTCCTCCCCTCAACCCTCCCTTGTGGCCCAGGAGGAGCTGGTGCTCGCAGCCCTGAGGATAGAGGCTCTACAGGTAGCCAAAAACATCTCTCAGAGCCCCACTTTGTCCACTGTGTCCCCTCAGGTACTGCGCTGAGCCAGCCCACACCCGTGTGTGTGAGTGTGTGTGCATATGCAAGCACAAGTGTGTGTGTGTGATACCCCCTTTTGAACCGAGCCCCCTGACTGCACCCTTGGGTATGAGTGTGAATACCTACCCATAAACTACCTCACCATACTGTGGACGTGACATCTCACCCCTGGTACTTTAACCCGTCTCCCGATTGGTACTCCTTTTTCCCAATCCAACACCCTCTTGAGCAAAAGAGGTGTGTTTCTCCCAGGGCTTTGTGACAATCCTGCATGTTCGCTTGGACTGGAGATCCATAGAAACAAAGGTCAATGTGACTTGGAAACTTACGCTGTATATAGATTCTATATTATTACATCAAATATGAATGGTTTGCAGATTTCATCATTTATATGCTTTTCCTAAGCAGAATGTTTATAGATGAATTCCTCGTCACATTCATGCTAGTTACTGGTTTCGATTTGTTACTAATTTACACTAACTCATTGGAAGGCAGTGGGCATACAGACCATCTGTATGCCTGGTTCTAGGCCACTGGCGTGGCTTCACATGAAGCTTAGCTCAGATCTGCTTTCAGTCATGTTGGATGAGTGACCGTCACCTCTGTCTCAGCATTTGTACAGGAAATGGAATAAACTAATCTCGTATACACGAACGTGCACACATACTACAACCCCTCTAACATGCCTCATATTCTTGCCACTCCATTCTCATGATGTTATCTTGCACGCTTCACAGTCTCGCCTCAAGAAGCCCAGCCCACGTCACTGGAATCTCAACGGTTCTCGCATGGCTAAAGTAAGAAGGACAGAAAATATCCCCTTTGAAGTCTAACTAGGTCTAGTCTATATATTCTAATCCCACTGTCCCTGTACCACCTTTATTAGACTAAACCACCATTAGTCAGAAAACTAGGTCTACAAACAAGAAACATCTTATCCTTCTCTTATCCTTTCTGTTCACTGAAAAAAAAGGAAAGAAAAAAAGAATTAACACACATCAATTCTAACCCATTTTTCTAACATTTAATTTGACCATCTATATATCTATCTCCTTTTTTTGTTTTTTTTTAGTAATAGTTATGTTTTGTCTCACTCTGTCACACAGACAGATAGCAAACTCTGTCACAGGACGTCCCGTATTCCACAGGTATTTTTTCTGCCCCTGAATAATCTCTAGACTGCATTTCCAAAATAGAGTTGATCTTTAATGTATCAAAAGTATTTCTGGAATAGTACTGATACATTTTAGGATTATGGAGTGCTTTCATATATAAAAAGTAATGAGTAATGGAGTAATGAGGTTCAGTGATGACTAACCTGAATTGATGGTCTTCTTAAAATATTCAATATTTTAACATACATTATTAGATAACGCTCTTCCTGAAATAGTCTCACAGACACAGTTCACATGCTGCTTCAGCACATTCTCCATGACATGTTCTTTATTTTACCTTTTCATTAGCAGTAATTTATCATTCATGGAATTACATGCACAGCTGCTCTGAAAGATAACAGGAATACATCACTGAACTCTGTCTTGTCAATATTCATTTTTAAAGATTTTGTCTCTCATTTGCATTCAGAGTTATTCCTCTGCCTCATTTCTCACCCTCTGCTGACTGTGTTTATGATTGGTAATGATGAACATGGTGTTCTTTTTGAGTTGGATCACGCATTCGGGGAGTTTCTAGATTAGATTATGCAATGATTGTTGAGAAATGGAAAAGTTGGAGTCAAGAATAAAACTAGGCCTCTCGAGTCTAAGACCAAGACCTGTACAATTTATTAATTCTCATTATACTCCAAAGAAAAATAGCAAACTCACAAAAATGAAATGTGACTTTAATTTGGTTAAAAATAGGCTGAGCTCTGGTCTGAGACTATTGCGATTATAAGACTCAGATCTAGGCCATGTCTAATGTACAGTATGTAGTCATAGGAGAGCTGAGATCAACACTAAACTAAATATGATAAAGCGTCATTTCAACATTTTGTATCAGGTTTTAATTTCAGTTTGTACCTCACGTATGACTATATGCCCCCTCCATGATCTGAGAGCAGCCCAATAATGCAGTAAATGGTATTAGGCATAAATTCTCCTTGCAGACCAAACATGTGGTGGGCATTCTGTATTTGTACCCTAACACATGACCCCCTACCTTGTATAAGAGTCAAACTCAATTAATCTCCTAATCCAGCCCTGTTAGGAAGAATTAATCAGCTCTAATCAGCAAGTGGGTTTAAGGTCTAAACATGATAATTATTCAGTAACTACACCCCATCACTGGCTATAAAGAGGCCTTCTGGAAACAATACAAACCCTGAAAATGTACTGTAATTTAAGAACTTGCTTCTGAATCTTAAAACTGATTTTTTTTTTAATAAATATTTTTGATATATATATTTATTATTATTTTTTGTATATTTATTTTAAAAAATGTTTTAAATATTTTTTAATATATAAATGTGTAATATTTATTTTAAAAAATCAGTTTTAAGATTCAGAAGTAAGTTATTAAATTACAGTACATTTAATGACAGTACATTTGTGCTTTTGTTTGTGCCTTTGAAGCAGATATTCACAAAACATGTCTGTCTTTTCCTGTAGGACATATGCAAATATGGTGCTTATAATCATCTTTTGTCTTTGTTGTAACTGGTTGCATTAACTACCCAGATAGTTTTTTTTTTTAAGGATATTTTAGGATATTGTCTTTTTTTCCCCATGCAAAATGGATCATCGACTTTTAAATGAAAATATAAGATCACCAACTTTGCACATTATCTGATCTCTGAAAACTAACATAAGGATCAACCTGTACTCCTGCAGTCCTAATCTGACACAGCATTCCCTCTATGATCCGGTCACAGCCGCAAACCTTTCATGACAAACAGCTTTCACATCCATCTCACATTGAAGATTGTCAATCATAGCATTCCAGCTGTATGCAGCGGGCCAGTCGCAAACTGCTGGAGGCTTTTGAACCCAAACTAAGAGCCTGCTCTCCATGGCATTATGGCTTTGCTGAGTAGAACCTGTAGATGATGTGCTGCCTCCCTCCAAGACATGTGATGTAAATATTGTTTTACAGAAATAAACTCACAGCTTTTTAATGGTTTCTCCACAACTCTCTTCTCTGCAGCAGAGAGAAATGGCCTCACCGGGAGACAGCGGGGTTTCGAAGAGCTCCTTCTATTTACAATCAGGATATATTGAGGGGGAAAGCCCTCATCTGCCACGTGACATGGACCACTCTCTTGCCATCGCCCGAGAAGAGGTACACACTCATCCATTGCATGATGCCACACCACAATAAAAAGACTGTATCTTAGTCTCGTCATTTTACATTTTATGAAAGTTTACCTTGAGTTAAATCTGTAAATTTTATACAATAAATCTAAATAAAGTGGTTAAAGCTAAGTTAAAAACGTTCACAAGCTCTGGACAGTCATAGAAACTTTCCCATGCTGTGTTTAGTTTCAGCGTCTGAGGGTTGATTAACTGGAGTGATGAGAAATTATTATTTTTCTTCTGTATTTCAGAAGATTTAAAGTCAACATGAAATGAAATTACTCAATTACTCAATTTCTCATAATACAGTTTTCTAGTGAAACAAGAGACTTCTCCAATGATTTGGCCTGCTTAAACCCCTTGCTTTCTTACGATTGACTGCAAGCTCACACTCATTATTGAGTGCAACGCCCACATCTCAAAATACAATCAACAACCGATGGATAGAACCAAGTCTATGCCCTGTTTTTTTTTTTGATAATCTGTTTTACTCATATGTACGTCACAAGAAAAGATCTGTCACTACTTCCATTTCAGACATCACAGCCGATTTATGTGGTTGCATTTCCGCTGATTATTTGAAAAAGTTTTCATGCTTATCATCTGCCGAACTTCTCAGATCATTGTTTATTAACCTCATAAATATGCAAATAATTATATTAACTAAGGATTTTTACAGTGTGAACCATGGCAAAGGACAACCCAGGTTTGCGTTAACCCAGAATGACACTGGTTTATCAATTTCAAGGGTGTAAAGTGTGTGAAGTAATGCTCTTATTTCAGATTGTTGTGAAAGAGAAAGAAGCCATGGAGTGGAAGAGAAAATACGAAGAGAGTAGACGGGAGGTGGAGGAGATGAGGTGGGTGTTCTCAAAGGACAGAGATTCCTGTGCCCTTGTGAGCTATGATGAGTGAAGCTTGCGTCTTTTGCCGACCCCATTTCTCCCCACTTCTCCCATGACTTCATGTCTTCTCTATAAACTTCAAATCAATAAAATTATCAGAAACGTTCATTCACTACATATGTTCCTTAGCTTATATGACACAACTGACAAATCCCTGTGCATTAAACCATACAAGGCTCTGCTTACAGCTTCATGCATCCACCTCAGTGCACCTCTCAATCTGTTTATCTCTTTCCTATGTTTTTTTGAAGTTGAGCGTAAGCAGAAAGCCAATTAAAGAGGGCCTTAGCATGTCAGATGTGCCAAAGTTGGGGGCAGGGAAAGGGAGGGAATAAACGAAAGACAATTTAGCTTTGTTTTCACCCATCTGGAAAACACATGGAACTGTCTTGTCACACAATTAAATGCCATTTTAACATGTTTTATATTAGTTTCTGCTTTACGATCTCCTAACTAAAGGTTCAAATCAGGTGACAGTTTTATTAAATAGCTCATGTTCAGCATTTCTGAAGTATTCTGTCACCTCATTGCACTTTTAATAAAAAATGCAGCATTGTCTAATGAAGTTGATTGAACCAGAACATGTTTTAAAGCTGTCCTTTTCTATTCAAGGGGTAAAGTGAACAAGGTAATCGGGAAGGGTTGAGGATTACAGCCAGCTGGACTAGGCCTTGTTAGTGTGGATAAGAATGGGGCTTAGTTCATTAGCCTGATTGGGCTTAGGATAAGGAAGGCCTAAGAGGCTAAGGAAGACATAGCTAATCCATCCGCTTACTGTGCCGGCAACCTGCTTTTCTCCAAGCAAGTCTTTCTGCCAGCTGAAAGTCAAACTCTTAACTCTTGTAGTCAAACACATGACATAACAAATGCCAGTTTCCTGACACCAGGACATCAGGTTTCTACACTGCCATTCAAAAGTTTGGGGTTGGGAAGATTTTTTTTTAACTGTTTTTGAAAGTCTCTTATGTTCAACAGGCTGCATTTAGTTGATTAAGAGTATAGTACAACAGTTTATTATCAAATATTACAATTTAAAATATATATTTTTAAATGTAATTTATTTCTATGATGGCAAAGCTGCATTTTCAGCAGTCATTTCTCCAGTCTTTAGTGTTACATGCAGTGTCCTTCAGAAATCACTCTAATATGCTGATTTGGTGCTCAAGAAACATTTCTTATTATTAATATTGTTGAAAACAGTTGTACTGATTAATATATTTGAGGAGAATGTGATACATTTTTTCCAGGATTTTGATGTAAAAGTCTTTACTGTTGCTTTTGATCATTTTACTGCTTCCTTGCTCAATAAGACTATTAAATTCTTCAACGGTAGTGTACATCAGTCTTATTTTTTTACACTGCAGATATATATGCATAAATAAACTTGTTTTTGAAAAGTTCCTTGTATCTGCATGTCAAATTACATATTCCTCAAAGTCACACAGCCTGTTTTATTTATTTAAAGCTAAATGGAAAACAGTATGCTTAAAAAGATCTGTTTTGATCAGAACGTGTAGTGTATATGCACCTTATTTGAATATTAACTTGATTTTTGCTTATTCTTTGCAGGAAGATAGTTATGGAGTATGAGAAGACTATTGCAGAGATGATTGGTGAGTCTTGATTACTAAATATGATTTCATCTTCTCCTGGGGATTTTTAATTTGTGTTTTGTGAACACTGTCAGGCACTTTTGGTTCTATTTATCTGGGCTTTTCTTCTGCTACACTGCTATAAATGAACAGGCACAGCCCTTATCCAGTCACGCCACACCAACACACATATGCAATAAGGTTTTGTTACTTTCTCATTTAATTTGCAGACAAATCTTTCGTGCCTCTGGACCCAAACACCGGTCAGTTACAAGCACAAGCCTTCATGTCTCCCTGGCCTGTATAATCCACTTGACTTCAGAAAACACAAACATGTTTCTGCTCAAAACATGTCCCTTACCAGGCTTCACCCACTGACAGATTAATCTCATTTCTTTGCCTGTCCAGTATTTACGTCCATGTAAACACTCTAGGCTGTGTGCTTTCTTACATTTTCAGATTGCGATATTGAGTGTCTGGTTTAACCTTGACATTTTCTCTTTGTGCAAAGAAACAACCTTTTTTCATTCCCTTTTTATATTCTTCATGATAAAATGCCATCCTTGACATCCTTCCCAGCTATCGGTCATTTTATTTTCACTTTATTTTGTATCTTTGCTTATCATTTCTTTTTCCATGGTTCATTTTCTTGGCCACTTTTCTGGCTCTCACCACCACCTACTTCATTTTATTCTAGGACACTTTCATTAATTTCAAAATTCGTCTATGTTTCTGACACGCTTTTCTCTCTCACATGTCCCACCCTGCTGGCTTGACTTAATGCGGTCCCTTTTTTCTGATTTGCTCCCTCCGTCCCCCATAAATATTTGATAAATCACTCAGGCATGCCTGGTAAGTAACAGCAAATCTTTATTTTCTTTATTTGTGTTGCATCCACCACATCTGATAGTGACAGACAGGGAGAGTTTTCTCTTACTATAACCTGATACGGTATCTCTCATTGTAGTATCATCTGGTTTTGCTCTGCTGGTCTTTTTGAAGACCTTTTCTCAAACATCAGCTCATCAGTGTTTAGGAAACTACTTTGATACTGTAGCTTTCCAAACAAGTTCATCATAATGTGAAGTCACCTAAATACAATTAAGTGCAATCAAGCTAGAAAAAAGTAACTACAACAGTAACATTTCTTTTTAGCACTTTTAAAAAAGCTTAATAACCATGATAAATTTTTTTCCAAGATTGTTTAAAAAGGACAGAATTTATTTGAAATAGGAATATTTTGTCAATTTAATAGATCCTTGCTGAATAAAAGTATTAGTTAAAAAGAAATCATACTCCAAACTTTTAACCGGTAGTGTACATTTAAGCTAAAGTAATAGAACTAGAATAAAACCTATATCATTGATTAGAAAGCATGATAGATTGATAGTATTTATTTAAAGGTTGGGAAGGGAGTTCCACACAACTGAGTGATGATTCAGTTGAATCAGTGAATCAGTTTTTTTAAACAGTTCATTAAAATGATCCATTTAGCAGACTTGCTACAATTGAATGAAATTTGTAACTGTAAATCTTTTTTAATATGTTTCCCTAAAAACGAATTAATAAGTGCTGAGTAAGTCTTTCAAAGGTCTTCTCATCTCTCTCCATGTCTCCGTGGTTTGTCCATCTTTGAGTGTGTGTGTGTGTGTGTGTGTGTTGTCTGCATGCATCACAGAGATGCAGCGTCGAAAACTGCATTTTCATTTGTCATTATCAACGATGTAGACATGGTGTAGAGTATAATTTCATATCTGAAGTACCCAGAGGAGCCTAACATCAACCTCTTCCGCATCCAAAAGCAAACTTGCACATCTATTTGATTGTATTGTGTCGTGTATTGTATTTCTAGTGTAAAATGAACTTAATGCGTTTATGTTTTTGTGTGTATGTCTCAGAGGGTGAACAGAGGGAGAAGACTCTGTCTCATCACACTATCCAGCAGTTGATCCTGGAGAAAGACCAGGCTTTGGCTGATCTCAACTCCGTGGAGAAATCTCTCGCTGACATGTTCCGCCGCTATGAAAAGATGAAAGATGTTTTGGAAGGCTTCCGCAAGGTAAGTCACTTTAAACTGAGATTGATAAAGGTTAAAATCATTGTGAATTTCCATTTGCAGCTGTGTAATTTGATGTAATTCTGAGCTAAATGGAATATTCAATGAGAAAAATGAAGGTCAGGACTTGATTGTTATTGATTGTGGATGTTACATGCAAAAATGAAGCCAAACGAATGCAAGCGTACAACAATAACTATTAGGCTGTTGGTTAATATTATCTAATAGCTTGTGCTTAAGCAGAAGGGGTCATTATTGGCAGTCATTTACTCACTCCAATACCTCTTTTTTCCTTCAGAATGAGGATGTGCTGAAGAAATGTGCACAGGAATACCTGTCTCGTGTCCGTAAGGAGGAGCAGCGCTACCAGGCCTTGAAGATCCATGCTGAGGAGAAACTGGATAAGTAAATACAGATCTTTCACATGCATATGTTTTTAATATGTTTTGCTTTGTACGGGATTTCTTTTGCCTGGAACAACAACTGTTAGTCTAATTAAGGGTTTGACTTACACTGTGCGAGAGTCCTTAGAAATAGGAAATGATGGCATGACTCTGACCATGTGGCACCCGCAGGGCGAATGCTGAAATCGCTCAGGTGAGAGGCAAAGCCAAGCAGGAGCAGGCAGCGTATCAGGCCAGTCTGAGGAAAGAACAGATGAAGGTGGACTCACTGGAGCGCACACTGGAACAAAAGGTTTGCTCACACTCACAAATCCACATGCTCATCTGTTAAAGTCTGATCTTGCAAGCCTAAAAGTACATTTTGTTGTTGTTAAAACATTTAGTAATTTTTTTTTATAGTAAAGCAAACAAATATTTTATTTATTTAAATATATAGTGTTATTTATGCAATGCTTCTTTTGTAAAATAATTAAGATTTTTTGTTGAAAGAAGTCTCTTATGCTTAACAAGGCTGCATTTATTTAATCAAAAGTACATTACAAATAGTAATATAACTTTACAATAGTTTTCTATTTTAATTTATTTTAAAATATAATGTAAAATATAATACATAATTATAATCTATAATTATAATTAATATCTATCATCTAATTTTATTTTAAATAAAAAATTAATACTTTTACCCAGTACTGACTTTACTGTTATATTAGATACATTTAATGCATCGTTGCTGAACGCATTAATTTTTATCAAAAGTGACAGTATAGTCATTTAAAATGTTATAAAAGACTGTTTTTTAAGCATCCTGGTTTCCACAAAAATATTAAACAGTACAACACTGAAAATATTAGCGGAGTAATGGCTGCTGAAAAATAAAATCAGAATAAAAAAATCTGATTTTTTAAATTATAATATTTCACAATTTTAATGTATTTTTGATCATACTGTAAGAGAGGTCTTTAAAAAAAAAAAAAGATTAAGAGGTTAACATGATTTTTTGGATTCTGTTTACAGAACAAAGAGATCGAGGAACTGACCAAAATTTGTGATGAACTGATTGCCAAGATGGGAAAGAGCTAGCCGTCCATTCGACAGAGTTCTGTCCATACCACAAAAGGACACTAGAACAATAACCAGACAAGATGGAGGGGCAAGATTAAAGTGTTCATTATTGTTTTTTCCTCTTTCTAATGGACAGAACAATGAACTAACCAAACAAAAGGAATTCACACTACTGAAGTCTTCACATAAACTGGAGTCCCTAGGACTGTGAGGACACACTAGTTTCTGGCTGTAATTATTTTCAATGTGTTAATGTACACCACCTTACCTATGTTGAGGGTCTTGTGAAAGTACTCCCCATCAGTAGAGACTTTTTTGAGTGTCTGTATAGCTCTCTCTCTCTCTCTCTCTCTCTCTCTCTCTGTCTCTCACACACACACACTAACAAGCAGAGAGTATGTGTTTATAGTGAGTCTGAAGTTATGAGTGCTGTTGCCATGACAACCACTGATGGAGCCGACTGTTAAACTGATTGCTGTGGTACCCTCTTCTTAACTTGAAAACAGAAATGACCAGAGAGAATATATATAATATAAAACAGATGAATTAATCATTCAGTTGTCACAAAGTGGTATTCATGATCATGAAAAAAATGCATGTTGTAGGCCTTGACGGTTTTGTAAATATGAAAATGACTTGAAAATAGTATAGGAACATAACTGCAGATTTTGATACTGTTAGTTTGATCATCTTCCTTGTGTATCTTTGTAGATACTTGTTGTTCATTTGTTTCGTTGTCTTCTAGCAACACTGATGTGTGATTTTATTTTTGGATTTTATTTTGATATATAAATGAACCCACTTGTCACTGTCAGTGGTTCTGAGCTAATTTAATCTGAATGGTTTTGTCTCAGTCCTGTTATAGCTGATGTTTTAGACAAAAGAAGCTCTGTCAGCTCTACAGGACATGCTTACAAAGTGCAATAAAAGATGGCAATACAGCTGTTTATCTGACCCATATCACACAGACACAGTCAATATGCAAAATGTAAAGGCTGAATAACAATCACATTTACATTTATTCATTTAGCAGATGCTTTTAGCCTCCCACTAGGGCATTTGAAGAAAGCAATAATGTTGTTAATGAACAAACAATGAATCTTGCTGACATGATCCTACGTATGTGCATAAAAAGATGCATTAGTTAGCTGGCAGATGGGTCTTAAAATCACGCCAGACAGACTATATTAGTGCCAATTTCATGCTGGCACAGAACCAAACTGTCTGAGTGAGTGAAGAAAAAACATGAGACGGTAGAAGTAGAATTTAAGAAAAAAAAAGAAGTGTCCTTAAAATAAGGAAAAATATAATTGTATTATATATAATAAAATTGCTTTCATTTGATTATTTTACCCCTGAAAGTGAAAAATAAATTAAATTACATATACAGTAGGAATTTAATAACAAAAAAATAGGAAGTAGTTAATGTGGGAAGAATAACTAAGAAAAACAGAAGTTACATAATTATGCTGATCTATTAAGCTGATCTAATCATTCATTTGGAGTAAAGGTTTGGTTTTAGTTTCTCTTACCGCATGCACATATTCAAATAGCCTTTGCATCAACACTTTGATTGGTTGTGTTCACTGTTCTGCTGTGTCACAAAGAGAAATCATGTGAGTTTGGTCTCTGATGAAGGCATGAAATCTGTAGGGCGTATCAGACCCCTTGCTAACATTCAGCACTGTATGGGTGGAGCACAGTAACCGATCCCTCATTCTGATTAGTCAAGATGGTGAGGATCCATTCAGATCTTAAGACCCAAGCACAGGCCTCAGTGGACAGGCTGGTAATCTGTGTGTCCTCACTGCCGTTGGGTATTAGCTCTCCGAAAGCAGGACTTAAGCTCAAAGGTTTTAAGAGCAAACAACCTGCTTTTCACTGTGCTAACCTGACAGCCACAGACGTGAGGATCCATTCAGAACTTAAGACCCAAGCACAGGCCTCAGTGGACAGGCTGGTAATCTGTGTGTCCTAACTGCCGTTGGGTATTAGCTCTCCGAAAGCAGGACTTAAGCTCAAAGGTTTTAAGAGCAAACAACCTGCTTTTCACTGTGCTAACCTGACAGCCACAGACCACCTGCAACATGAGAGCGCTCAATTTCTTCATGCTGCTGGGCCTGGGCCTCTTCCTCCTCGCTGCTCACAGTGAGTACTTCTCTGTTGTTGTTGTTTTTTTCTACTTTTTTAGATTTTTCACTCCTGTCTTCTCAGTACTGCATGTGTGCCACACTCACTCACAAGTGTTTATTTGCTTTATAAACAAGACTTCTCAGTCTGGTGATTTTGCTTTTTCGGTGTCATTTTCATCGTTTTTGTTTCATTTCGTTTCTCCAATTTCATTCTTTTGAGGCTTCATTATGACTGAGAATTTCTTGTTGGCCTTGAGGACGGTGTTAAAGGACTAACAGAAAATAATTGGTGCAATTCAATCCCTTAAACAGATTGAGGGCTAAAAGAGTTTGCAGGTCAGGAGTCTTTATTTTTATTAGATTTCTGGACCAAAAAAAAAAAATGTACTGTGAAAGCATCCCTGTGAAATTTGAGAACCAAGTGCTAATTAAGTTTAGAAAAAAAAGTTTTTTTTAATAAGAAAACTGTCTGGATATAATTGACAAAATGGCAGGTCAGGCATAGAGAAACTGGAGATTGCTTGTTCTTTCTTGTTATGGATGTTTTGTGCAGATGATTTGTAACAACTTTATTTTTAACCTCTGTCGGAAGGTTTTTGGAGTAGGGAATAAAGGAGACAACAGCATTAATTCCAAACCAGTGATTTGTTTCAAATATTCATATGTGTGTGTAGTTTTTGAAGGACAATAAATAATACCTTTAGTGACTTATGTGACATCATGGATTAGTATAAAATTCAACAGGGTGTTCTATACATTACTTATACTCTCAAACATTCTGAAAAATTAAATATTTACCATCTTCAGTGTCACACGATTGTCTGGAAATCATTCAAATTAATTTTCTGATTTACTTCTCAAGAAACATTTCTTGTTATCAGTGTTGGAACTCTGAGACGCACTCAACATACAGGAAGTAACAGATTAATGTATACATTTTAGGAGTGAAAGATGACGTTTTAGATAAATGCTTTGAAAAAGAATGTGACTTTCATGCTGGTGCTATACTTTAAAAGTTTACCTAATTTCAAACAGCCTGAAAAGCCTGCCAGTAAAATCATCTGTGAACTGAAGGTTTAGCTATCAAAGAGAGTGACTCAGATGCAGCAGAAGGATGTCTTTGTGAACAGTGCTAAGACACATATAGCAGATCCTTTTAAAAGGAATGTCTGTTTCTGAAGGTGTTACAGTCATCGAGTTTATGTGTCTGATCTTGTTGGATTGAACTTCAAAGGATGTTTGTTGAAAAAAAAATTCACTTTTTGGGAAATGATAGCAAGAGGCACATGAAAAAGGCTTAGCCACAACACGCACTGCTGGGCATTTAAAACACTGACATGTTTCTCTGCTGTGACTTCTGCTGGCTTCCCTGGGGTCTGTTAAACAAAAGCGAAAAAAGATGGGATAAAACGACAGTGTTCTGTTTAGACTTCACAGAACAGTGAAGTTTAGATCAAGATCTGTAGATTAAGATCTTCAAAATATTTTTTTCAAAATATGCTTCATCATGGAAATTGAAACAGAGTGCATTATTATATGTGTGCCATTATGAAGTACAGTAACATTTTCGTGTCTCCACACTAGAAATGAAATTGCATAAAATACATCAAGCTTTGTTTAGTCAAATGCATTGGATGTTTGCAATTATTATGTCACCGCATTATTTGCCTTGATTGTTGGAGCTATTGCGTTGAGCCATGGCTCTCATCTGGACACAGAATATTTCCTTCCTTTCATTTAATAATTTATGCATTTATCTTTAATATCTGTAAGAAAAAGGTAAAAAAAGAGGCAAAATAAGTTTAAAAAATAAATAATTAAATAAAAACAGAATAAACTGTTTGGAGGTATCTTTTTAAATCATTGTTTTTCATCATGTTCGTTTAAAACATTAAAATAAGAGAAATCTATGTGACAAAAATTGCATGAAATATTATCATCTATTTTCAGAGAATGTATCTGTTTTTATGTATTTAATTTTTATTATTACTTAATTCTTATTGACACATTTTTTTTTAAAATTTATTTATTGTTAATAATGACAAGAAAGCACATATTCCCAATGCATTGGTTGGGGGGGGGAAATAAATAGTAAAATAATAAACAAAATAATTTATTATTATTATTATTATTATTGATAATACTACTACTACTAATAATAAATAGATTTTATTCTCAAGTAACTTAATTATTATGTTTAATTTTTACTGGAAATCAAGACAAAGAAAAAGAACATTTATAAAAATTGATGGGTCAGTACTTACACTTTAGGCATTTTTTTTGTTGGGAATTTTAATGTTGAATTACTTTTGCCCCTTCTTTGTCTCTATTTAGGTGAGGCGCTGAAGTGTTACACCTGCATGGGCTCTACAGATGAAGACTGTAATCGCCAGGGCTCCAAAACATGTCCGAGCTACTCAGATGCATGTGCTGTTGTCCGTGGACATGGCAGTAAGTTTAATGGGTACATAGTTAATAGTTAATCTTCCTGCATGGATAGATGAGAGGAAACTGGGCAAGAACATTTTTTTTATTTCCTTGGATGTGGGTGATAAATCACAGAGGGATAAATCTTTAGAAAAATCATTAATGACTGTATATGTGTGTGTGTTTTAAGGGGAGGCACTGGATCAAGTTGGTGTTTAAGGAAGACAGACTGCTCTGTCTGGCTCCAGCTTAGAAATAGCAGGAGGTCTACAGCTTCCTTATGAGGATCAAGGCACATTAATATGTTATCACGCTCTCATGCCGTTCTTGTCTTTTTAGGTGGCGTAATGAAGTCGTGCTCATACAAATCCTTCTGCAGCCAGGCTAACAGCCAGGGCTACAGAGCTCCAGGGGTCAAAGTTCACTGCTGCTACTCTGATGACTGCAATGTGACAGGACACGCCACCAGAATCAGCCCAGGCTTCAGCTTCCTCCTGGGCCTTCTGTTATTCGTCTGGCATCTGCTGTCAAACTAATGCTATAGACAAACTGACCTGGCTATTAAAGACCATTACCATTGTGGAACTTGGCGGAACTCTGTATACTCTGTGATTGTTCACATACATTCCGATAAAATACAACACTGCAAATGTCAGCAAGTGTACTGCCATGGGATTGTGCATGCAATGCATATTAGGTTAATAAAGCACACACACACACATACAGAACCTCTCATACACAGATTTTGTCACATTTCTACTCTGCATAAAGCAAATGTATTTATTATCGTTTCAGACTTTCTAGGAATTCAAAAAGCTAAAAGCCTTTCTATTCTGTAGGTCAAATGAACCTAAATGAATTCTATTAATGTGATAGTTCACACAAAAATGAAACTCCTATTGTCATCATTTACTCACCCTCATGTCATTCTTAACGCACAAAAGAAGTTATCTAGCACAAAGTTAGCTGCTTTTTTTGTCAATAGCTATCCTTGGTAAAGATCTATTTTCATTGTAATGTAAGCATATTTTTGGGTGAAATATCTATTTAAAAGCCATTTTGTTGTAATGAACAAAGAGTTTGGTATAATGAAGAAAGGGATGTTTTAAGATAAGCCTCAAATATGCTGTAAATGAATGTGTAGTTTAATTTTCATGCCTTTACATGGAAATGAACATGAAGATAACACTCTCTGGCTTGTTTGGCTTTTGTGCTTGATTGTAAATAAACACTGCTTTTTCCTTATGGTTCAATGGGTGTCTATTTATTTATTTCAATAGGATTCAGTCAGGAAACAATGAGCGTATTTGTTATTCATACACTTCTATAATTACTGAGAAAAGTATAATGTTACCTAGCATGATAAAAATGATCAAACTTCTCCAGATCAGTCTGCAGATCTTATTTTGGAGAACATCTTATCTAATCATTATAGGCCTACTATCAGGAAGGTGAAATGTGTCTTTTATTTTCTGACCTCATTTAAAATGAAGTGTTTGTTTTCCTTAAAGAATGGATGGATGGATGGACAAAGTGTTTCCCCCGACGTCCTCAAGTGCTTTACCTCTACCTAACGCAAGGTGCCGCTGTAAATTATCAAATCAGCAGAAATCAAGCTGTTAAACGACTGGGTCGCTGTTGGAACCAGACAAGTTCCAGCCCACCCTGAACCCCTGACCCGGTCAAGGTAGGCACGTCTAGAGGACGGATTGTTTGTACTCGCATTGTATTTCGCAAGGTTTTGAGCGTAACCTCCTATAAACATGTTGAAGTTTACAAGTAATAGGGTATTAATCGTCACGGGGTGCGGCGTGAAGAGTCCACATGGCATGTGTTGTGATTATTTATTGCTCACTGTGCGATGAATTTGAGAGTTTTGGCGTGTTTATGTATGATTAACGTTAATCCTTTTCTTTTGTTGACAATTAATAGTGGCCCAAAATTTCAAGCAAGCAAAATGAGGTGAGAAAAACGTGGTTCTCCAATGTCTATCCCAGAGTAGCCACGATTTTCCGCGTGAACTAATATTATAGCCTAATTTCTGCGTATTTAGTAAATATGAGCTTCAAAATTATTTATTTAACTATTTATTTTTTATTACAATGGTATCTAACACTTTATTATTATTATTTTTTGTACTTTTTTATTATTGTCAGTACACTCACTTTGGCTATTTTGCCTTTGGAGATTTTATTTTTCTTTAAGTCTTGTTGGTCATTAAGTCAAAGTGGGACATGAGGTTATTTAAGCTGTAATTTAAATCTTGCCCATTCTGTCTGTTGTCATTTCCGTTATGATAGTGCTTTTCTTTTATTTCTCTTCACTTCTGCATTGAATAAACCTTCTCTCTTCTCTCAGTCCCTCTGCTGAGTCTTTCTTTTGACAGACAGGTGTGATAGTGTGAACAGCTGCCCCAGAGGAGGATAAAGAATGACCCCAAACTGTGATGCTCCAGGGCCATTCCACTGGGTGCTTTGATTAGCTGTCAGTCCTCATCAGCTTTATTTGGAGATTTCATTCTCACTTTTAGGAAGTCCTTAATAGTGCTGGGGATAAAGGTGCAGATCACAAAGCTAGAGAGGTTTGGGTAAAGGCAAGTGTGCATCAGTTTTTCAGCGATCTAGCCTAATTTTTAAGGCTCCTGAAATGGCAATATGGGAGTTTTTTTCCATGAAAAGTTCTTCAGATGTTCTGATGTCTGTAACATTTTCCAAACTTGCACTGAAATTTTATCATAGTAAAACAGAGAGATTTCTTTGAGCTTATAGGGAAAATGATATCCAAAAAAGTATTTTTTAAAATTAAAATATGCTACTGCTTGCCATCTGTGGCATGTGTAAAGGTCATTGCTATGGTGACCATCTAGGCAGAAATTGCTCATTTGATCATCCCTAGGTAGCTGCTCAAGTTTAATCCATTTCCACCTAGGGACACTATTACTGTAAATCCCATTTTCACTATGGAAAGCCTTAAGCCACGTGCCATTTATTGGGATGCTGGAAACCAGACGATGTTCATTTTGATCTCCTTGAAAGTCTTGCCAGTACGCGTTGCATGTTATATTTTGGTCCACACATGAACTGTATCATGATAGGTTCTCATAATTGCTTTTTGCAGACTACTAGAATTTTAAAAAGATGATGGATAACCTCATTCCTCCATGTCATGTGGGTTTGGTCCTCATTTTGTTTTCCTCCATTGAGGAGTACAATCTTGTGGTCCAAGGTGTAACATGTATGTGGGTCAATGACATAGCATTAATTTTGTATATTAATTTAAGGATTAATATGTATATATTTGATATATATGTAAGTAATGCAGTTCATACCTGCAATGACTTAAATACACACATTCTATAATTAACTTGTTTTACATTTCTGAATTAAAATTCAAATAATGATTAATTGTACATATTCAAGGTCTATTGTTTTTATTTGACATTTACAATACATTACATTTTTGGAGTTATTAAATTTAACCTTTCTTGAAAATGATATAAAAAGCTTTTCAAAGCCATATGAAACCAATATGAATACAATAGTAGCTTACATTTCTAAGAACTTTCCACATCTGTTTTAAACTAGATTTTAAGAGATTTTTTACATTTTCCTGTTTACACTCTTCTACAATATGTCATTGACCCATAGGAAGGGCAACTCTGTGCTTTGAAGAAAGATCCCATTAAGCTGATCTTTTGAAAGCCAGGTGTGACATAAGAACAAAGAGAATTTGGGACATTATTTGACCGCTTTTTCTCTTCCCTCCATTCATTTACCATATAGTTATAGAGGTTGTAGAGTAGAGGTGTGACCTTGGCATCCTGGCCAAATTTGCCCATTGGCCTCTGATCATCATGGCCTCCTATCAATCCCCATATCCACTGATTGGCTTCATCACTCTGTCTCCTCTCCACCAATAAGCTGGTGTGTGGTGGGCGTTCTGGCACACTATGGCTGCCGTCGCATCATCCAGGTGGATGCTGCACACTGGTGGTGGATGAGGAGATACCCCCTCACAATGTAAAGCGCTTTGAGTGCCTAGAAAAGCGCTATATAAATGTAATGAATTATTATTATTATTATTATTATTATTATAGTTACTGAACAACAGCATGGCATGGGTCAAGTGTCAAATTTATATCCCACGAACTGAGTGGGGGCACTTACTTTAGTAGGCCGAATCAAATACTCTCGGTGCCTGATTGGGAGGGAACAAAAGTGTGCGGTGGAAAAGGGAGCATGTGAGATGATGGCTGTGTTTATGAGTGCGCGGAGCCCGGCTGGCTGGTCTGGGTTCAGACCGCGGTCACTGGTTCTGGGGTCTCCGGGTCTCAGGTCCTTTTTGAAAAAGATCCATGAAGCAGAATTAAAGTGATCTACCTCCGGACTGCGGACCCAGGGCTTTGGAACCAGGGAAGGAGGAGGGCACAGAGGCTTGATAGAAGAGGGGCAGAGGGGGTAAGTTCAGAAACGGGGTTTGGGAAAGGGAGGGAGAGTAGGAATTGGAGAGTTATGCATAATCAGTCTGGCCTCAGCTACTTTGAAATTAACCTAAATAGTTTGTTCTGTGGAGCTATTATGGCTAGCAAGTGAGCAAGCATGCAAAAGAGACACAAAGTCATAAACTTTAAACTTGAGACGGAAACATGTCATTTAAAATTGATTTAAGAAGAAAATTTGCACCTCGAAAATAATGGGTGTTTTTTAGGGATGTGATTTTTTCACTGAATTTCACACATTTAAAAAAAAAAAAATATATCTAGTTCTGTGTTACAATGCGTTTAAGGCCCCTGTGTGTGTGTGTGTGTGTGTGTGTGTGTGTGTGTGTGTGTGTGTGTGTGTGTGTGTGTGTGTGTGTGTGTGTGTGTGTGTGTGTGTGTGTGTGTGTGTGTGTGTGTGTGTGTGTGTGTGTGTGTGTGTGTGTGTGTGTGTGTGTGTGTGTGTGTGTGTGTGT